TAAAGTTATTTCAGAGGCTCCTGGGGCATATGGCATCTGCAGCCGCGGCAACGCTGCTCGGATCGCTTCATATGATACTGCTTCAGCTTTGGCTTTGTGACTAAGTCGCGAGGTGGGCATGGCAACACGGCGTGCTGCCGTGCTCCGAGTACCAGTTACTCCGACCTGCCATCAGACCTTCACCCCGTGGTCAAACCTCAATTTTCTATGGATGGATTTGGAAGTCACTCAAAAGGCTCTTTCACGGTGGCTTCAGTGAGGCGCAGTGGTTTATGGGATGAGTAGTTCCTTCGCTCGGAAATGAAAATATGTACACAGCCTTTGCCCTTTTACCTTTGACTTTTTTTGGATTTTCTCTTCTTTTTTTTCACACGAAATTAAATATTGTATGCATATGAGTTCAGCCGTAGCTGATTATCCTTTTATTTTTTATTATATAAAACTCTTTAGATACGGATTTTCCAAAACCTCAATGGGAGAAATTAATGGAAAATTTACTTCTGGCACCAACGCTCTCTCGGGCTATGGGCAGGACTGTGATACTCTGTTGGACTTAATAGGGAGTCCCATGCTTTCCATAGACGGGCTTTAATATTACAAAGTCTTGCTGTTAAAAATACAAATTTGAATTAAAAGAATAATAATAATTCGCACCAAAGGACAAAAAACGTAACAATTTCTGTGGTCTGAAAACAGTTAAATGTTTGAACAATTATGTGAGAAATATTCACCATGTGCATAGGGGTCTTCAGTCACATGACATTGAATGGGGTCTTCCAACTAAATGTAGTTGTCCATGATATTACCCAACTTAATAGAAGGTAAGAACATTCTTTTTTGTTTTGTTTATGAGATTCCTATACTTTTAGAAATATATGTATAGGAAAATTGATGGCCACTTAGTGAAATAGGCACTTGCAAAATTATACCAGAAGTGCCTTTTAAGATTTTTAAACATTATTTTCTTTGTTTATAAAAGTAATAAATATTCAGGAAATAATTTTGTCAACCGTCACACCATATATATTTATTAACCCTGGTATTAAAACAACAAATTCATGTAAACAAAAATGTTTAACCATTTACAGTATTCTAAATGATGAAAATGGTTATTTTTATCTTTTCTGACGGTGAAAAAGCCACTTCACGTCAATTACCCAGGTATGGTCAGAACGCTTGTTCGAATCGTTCGTTTGTTATTTAAACACAAGATGGCGATATCGAGTTTTTTTCTCAGCCTAGTCTTATGCTCCAGTTACATATTTTAAACAGTTACATATATTTTAAACAGTTACAGTTGATCAAATTTAAGTTATTTATTTAAACATATAAATTAGTTATTTTAAAAAATACTTATTTTAAGTAAAAAAAATACTTAATTCTTATTTTAGGACTTTCTATACTTATTAGAGTGTTGTGTATGTACATGTACACATTTCAAGACTGTAATTAACCATTTTTTTTGTTTTTCCCCATGAAAATGTCATTCAACATAATGAATTTTTAAATTAATTACATTTCTACCATTGTTGGCATTTACAAATGTACTGATATCCATAGATTTTAGATACTTTTATTTATATTTTTATATTTTTGTATTCAGATTTTAAGCCAGGACCGTTACCTGGAATGACATTTTGGGACTTTTGAGTCAATCTTCATTAAAGATTAATTATTTATAATGAATTCTCACATAAGTAATTAAAGAGGGGGAAGTTGAGTCACTTAACACTGCATTTTACTGTTTAATTATTTATTACATCATTATTATTGTTCCATTAGGAATACTGTCTATAGTTACTTTATTTTTGACTTACTTTGCACAATGCAATTGCCCTGTCCTTAATGTGTATCTTTATGTGTCTGCACTTCGACGCTTTATCTTGGCCAGGTCGCCATTTTTAATGAGAATTAGTCATCTATGTGCCTACCTGGTTAAATAAAGGTTAAGTAATAAAACTAAAAAAAATACAAACCAAATACAAAAATGATCATCTTGCAGCAAGTGCAATTATAACAAAGTATAATATACTGTTCGACCTGTATTACAAACCATCAAAACCTGATAGATACAAGTATAGTATCTAATACAAAGTATTATATTGTAAACAAAATTTTAAACACACCTGTAATATAAAAATATAAATTATTTTAAAGATAGGAATGTTGAAATATGTGTGACTAAGAAACAAATAGCTATAACTAAAACTGTATTATAACAAATGCAGAAGATATCACATTTAAATTTGGTGAATACCATTCCATTTGTAACCTGAAACAGACAATAAATCTTGCACTCAGTGTTAATGTCAGTTAAAATGATCCCCCTCTGTCATTTAATCAGTTGGGAAGCAGCGAAAAAAGGTTGTAACATATCAGGTTGCAACAAAGTGAAAGTGGTTCTTTGGTATTCCCCTTCATTCAAGCTGTGATTACAAGCAGGAACAAACCAGTTCGGGGACAGGCGTGTTTATAATCTACCAGCGAAGAAGGTATTTGTTTGCTTTTTAACGTTTTTGATTCTAATTACTTCACTCTCTACATGTTCTGTTCTGTTCTGTAAACAGTCAGTTCAGAGAAAATTGACATTTGTACATTTATGACTTGTATACACTAGAAATGAATAAGTGTTGTCTTGTTGTATTAATAATTAGGCATTGATTAATCCTTTTCCTGACTGATTTAAAAACTGTGACTGTGTTGAATATGCATGTGTTGTTCTCCAGTGACTTAAACACCTTTTAATTTACTCTAAATTTTCAGTATTTCTCTTTATTGTTCACAGGTTTCTCAGTCTATCTGGAACAGCAAATTTTAAACCATGAACAGTCCAAAGGTAACGCTTTATTTTCATTTTACACAACATGTAGGAACTGGTGCATTATTTTACGAATTGGCCAATTCGTATGAATTCATACGAATGACCTACCCCTTACCCCGCCCCTAAACTTAACCATCACGTGGGTTTAGACAAATCGTACGAATTAGTACGAGTGAGGTCGTACGAATTAGTACGAATTAGACACTTTTTAATCATGCGTCGAATTCGTACGAATTGGTCGTGAGATAGTGTTGGCATTTTCATGTGGTGGATCATTTGTTGAATTTGACCAGTTCAGCATTTGACCGCATATTTTGGAACCACTCATGATTTCTGTCAGACTGTGACACACAGGAGGAGTGGAAGACACCCATTTACTTTAAAAACTGTTTTTGGGTTGATGTAATGTCTGTTACATCAAAGCAAATTTGTACACGCCTAATTTTTAAATTTTTGCGTGATTTAGCAATGTATAAAATCATCCAAATCATTTTGCTAAATATTAGCCTGAATTGGTAAGCTAGCTAGTTGTCCAAAATGGCAGTTATGGGGCAAAGTGAGCCAAAAACTGTGGGTTAAATTGAGCCAGCATTATATAAGGCACTGTAGTTAAGTGAAATATCCAAGTATAAATTGGTATATTTTCAATGTAATATTACACAACATTTTATTTTCATGAATTTGTACAATCTGCCCTCATTATGTCATAATCCAGGAAGCAAATTTTAATTTCGTGCACTCAATGTGTCTGCACTCATTGTAAAAAGATTTTTTTCCAGAAAAGCCGCAATATGTTGTCAGTCAATTTATGCACTTATACAGTGATTTTTTTTTTAATAAAACTTCAATAGTAGATATTATAATAAATAACATTTAGACCCAAATTTGCCTCTTTTTTTTTTTTTTTGCTCCACCAACAAAAATGGTTCCAACGATGGCGAGCCAGCTCAATTAATCACTGTGTTTTTGATAGAATGAGTTGAGTGAATAATTCAATGACTCAATCAAAAAGTATCTTTTACCATACCAAAGTCATTTGATGATGTATCCCGCAGCGCAGAGTCACTGCAGGACGAATGTAATGTTCACTGTTTGTCTGAATTTTTAGTGTCCCCATTGTCAGCAGTCTGATATCAGAAAGCTGGATGGTCAGCGTGCGGTCTGCAGGACTTGTTCTAAAGTGAGGAGGTGCGTGTTTCAGTTCTGCTGGGCATGTCGGAGGGAATGGCCTCGCACTGCTTCGACCACCGAATCCTGCACGCTGCCGAACTGTGCGCTCCGTGCTGCTCTCCTGAGTGTGAAACTGATCAGTGAACCACAAAGTTCGGTGAAAGGATGCCCGTACCTTAGGGCCTGTCCTGGATGTCATGCCCTACTAACACACAGCGGTGAGGGGTGCCCGAATATAATTTGTCCACAATGCAACGAGGAGTTCTGCTTTCGCTGCCTGCGCTCAGAATGCTATGACAATGAAGACTTTGATGACGATGACGATGATGATGTTGAGCCAGAGCCCTGTGTGATAGTGGATAACACTGAGATCCTTCAACATCTAGAACTGTAGCAGAATAACTCTGAGGATAAACTACTAAAAATAACATTTTAATTTAAATTTCATTGATTTAATAATGAGAAATGAAAAGTGAGAATACTGTATTTTAATTTCCAAAGAGAATAAAGTTTTACTCCAAAAAGTTCTGGTTTTCACTTTATAATACACTTATAATCCTGATGATTAAAATAATTTTTTAAGAGAATGAATTCAAATTAAATTTGTGATTTTGGTTTGACTGTACGAACTTCTGCATGTTATTTATTTCATTATTTGAATAGGATTTGTTGCAGTGAAAAGTACCACAGAACATATAGATTATGTAAAGGTAAAGAGGATTAGGATGCAGTAAAATAGATTCATAATAACAGCATTGATGAGTGATCAGAGCCAGAACTTTCCTTCACTCATCAGCAGCTGTCGCTATATAAACCCATATCACGAAACCTCTGTAGGCATCTTTTCAATTAATAGTGTTTTTCAAGAAAAACAAACAAACAAATAGCCAAACAATGACACATACAGGATTATACCTTTCTCAGATGAAAGTTTTTTCATTACTGTCAATATGGTAGGCCTATCTTTTGAATCTATTATTCTCTGTATAAAAACTGAAAGTGAAAGAAGCAGGTCTGTTGGTATTCCCCTTCAGTATGTTTAAGCTTACAGGAAATAAACAGAAACATTTTGAGTTTCGACGCACAAAGAAGTGGACAGAACACAGAGTCACTGGTACGTACTGGTTTAATTTTACTTCTAGTTGTTTGCTCTTCTTATAGGCTTACATCCTATTGAAAACAGTCACTGAACAGAATTCAGACTTTTTGAATTCACACTTGTCGGAAGATTTTACATTGTACACAACATGTAGGAGCAGGTGCATTTTCATGTGGTGGATCATTTGTTGAATTTGACCAGTTCAGAATTTGACCACATATTTTGGAACCACTCATGATTTCTGTCAGACTGTGACACACAGGAGGAGTGGAAGACACCCATTTACTTTAAAAACTGTTTTGGGTTGATGTAATGGCAGTTACATCAAAGCAAATTTGTCCACGCCTAAAACTTTTTTTTTTGCGTGATTTAGCAATGTATAAAATCATCCAAATCATTTTGCTAAATAATAGCCTGAATTGGTAAACAAGCTAGTTGTCCAAAATGGCAGTTATGCGGCAAAGTGAGCCAAATGTTGTGGGTTAAATTGAGCCATTTTAACTTACTCCACCATAAACTGGTATATTTTTAATGTAACATTACACAACATTTTTTTTAGTTTATTTGATGGGAACAATCAAATAAACTTCTCTGATAAGAACCAAAATATTATATATATCTTTCCAACTGTAGTCCCTAGTGGCCTAACATGTTTGACATTGCAGGAAAAACTACCATGCCAAGAACCTTTTGACTAAAATGTTTATTAGTTTCAGCGCCATTTATTCATTCATTCTAATTACTTTTTTTATTTAATTATACTCAACAAACTCTCTGTTTGGTCTGTTTTGGGAAGGTTAGAACTTTGGTCTTCAACAAAAATGCAAACAATTTAATATATTGAAATTTCAAATTCATTTGGTCGGTTTTATGTTAGCTTTAAGAAAATAAATATGACTGTTTATAACAGGACATTTGGTTATTAAATTAGTTAGATTCAGATTCAGTTGGTCAGTTTACACCCAGATGTTGCAACTTAGCTATCCACTGACTCGGTAATCAACTTACCTTTTTTATAAGCCATATTTTTAGGTATTCTGATCATTTCAAATGATGACATTTCTGACAACTTTTATTGTACTCCTGCCTAATTATCTCTTATCTTGAGGACCATATGTAAAAAAAATGGCTCATCTTATCCCACTCTCCCTTATTGTCAGTGTCCTCAGTTCACCTACCAGTTCTCAATATCTTTGTCTTACCTTTTCCTTTCTAATCCGCTGACCCTTGTCTACTCTCTCTCTCACTCAGGTTTGTCATCTGTGAATGTGGTCCAGGAGGATTTGAGCCATGAACGTTCCAAAGGTAGATTGACCGCGCAAGAGCTCTGATATCCATCATGACGTCAGAAATTTTGTACTTGCTATTTTTAGGCACTTGTTCTGACAGAGTAGTATAGGAGGGGAATTAAGCTCTAAGACTCTATTTAGCACACTATGTCAAGGGGTCTGATTAACTGTGACGCAGTTTTCCACTGAGAAGTGTCTAGAAGAGCCTTCCTGGGTTATAACTTTTAGGATCATTTAGCTATAGCAATTATTTTAGTTCTATTTTAGATGTGAAAATTGTGAAAATGTACTTTCTTACTAAGGCAACTAGTAAGATTATCCTTAATGCATTTTTTTGCAGTTTTGATTATGTAGTTCAATGAATAAGCTTATGATGTAACTATGTCAGGGTTACAGCTTCAGATTTGGGTTGTAAAGTACATTGTACTGCCATACTGTGCTTGATTAGGCTAGAGCATTATTTAAGGAAACTGCTTGAAAAATACTTGTACTAGTTGTATTCCTTTAACTTAGTTACATTAAGTAGGGAAAATACTTTATTTACCCCTCAGAATGTAATTACACCTTTAATAATGTCAATTATAGGCTACATAGTTCACTGGTCATTGTGTGTGTGTCTCTGTATAATAATAATAATAATAATAATAATAATATTTATATCATTGATGTTTTATCATCTGGTGTGTCCATAGCCCTACATAGGGTTGCCTTGGACAGTTTGTTTGTTCATCAAAATTCTTCTGATAAAATCTTAACTGCCTCTTGATTTCTGTCAAGATTTCTGTATGTTTTTTTTTTTTATTGGAATAGCAAGTTAATGGAATCTGTGAATTAGGGCCCCTCTTTATTTATTTGAGTGACCAAGTCCCACAAATTCTTTCCCCCTTTCCCAGTGTCCCATTTGTCAGCAGTCTGATATTGGCATTCTGGATGGTCAGCTCGCAGTCTGCAGGTCTTGCTCTAAATCGAAGAGGTGTGTGTTCCAGTTTTGCTTGGCATGTCAGAGGGAATGGCCACATAACTCTTCGACCACCAAATCCTGCACGCTGCCGAACTGTGCGCTCCGTGCTGCTCTCCTCAGCGACACAAAAATCAGTGACCCACAAAGCTCGGTGAGAGGATGTCCATACTTCAGGGCCTGTCCAGGTTGCAAGGCCCTGCTTACACACAATGGAAGAGGCTGTCCCAACATCGTCTGCCCTCATTGTGGTAGACACATCTGCTTCCGGTGTCTGCGTGAAAGGTGCTTTGGGGAAATAAATATTGGCGCCTTTGCGCTTCTTAGACGGTCCTTCATTTTAGATGATGTAAGTCCATGTAGAGTGGTGGACAACAAGCAGAATCTCACAGTTTTGGGACTGTAATGAGAAAGTTTTGAACACAAAAAAGATGAATGACACAATGCTGAAATCTTACGTAATGAAAAACACCCAGTTAAGGCCTATCCTATGCGATTTGTTAAGGAATACTGTAAACATGTTATTGTAAGATTTGCTATTCTTGTACATGTTTAGAAACACTGAAAAACACTAGGTGCGTTCCATTCGACCGTAAGTGGACAGCGAAGTGCACTTCACAAGGTATTTCGCCATCTTAAGTGAGATTCCAATCCGAAGGGAATGAACATCTTTAGTTCAAAGGGCACTGCAAATGGCATAGGGAATAAGGGAACATCGATACATTATTTCACAGGAAGTAGAGAGCGAAAATCAACCAACTGTCATTGTGCACCACGTCACCAGTTTGAACTAACCATATTCAAAGCCGTTGGAAGAGATTTTAAATTTGAGTATTTGAGTATTCATAAATATTGTTATTATTATATAAGCTAGAGTATTTATGAACAGTTGGTGTGATGAATGCTACATTTTCCTAGTCTATTGTATGAATATCTACACAAATGAAAAGTGTTGAGAAGCAGTCTAATAAACGTATACAATATTTAATATTGTAATTTACATCATAATCTGCGCGACCCCGTTGTTGCCTTTCTTTGATGACGTTGCAGGGCATTCCAAATGAGCGATTATTGTCAGCAAAGTCCACCATAACTGATCTACGGTGTTCAGGGATTAGGGAGCTGTGAACACTGAGCAGGGACCTTGTCGAATGAAACCCACCTTCGATTTAACGAATGTATCCTGGATTATTTAGAAATTTTTCAGATTATCTTTTTTTTCCAAATATGAAATGCTAAATAGAAATTAATATAAATAAACATCTTTTTGAAATCTTACAAAATCTTTGTTAATACACCAAAATTATAATCTTTGTAATATTATTATGTATGCATATGTATACTTGCATAACAGCAACTTCTGAGACACAGCACACAGTGCAGTTCACACCTTACTTTTACAGTCTCATCACACCCCCTGCTCCCCCTCACCCAGAACTCACTGTTTGGCATCCTTTTAAGTGTCTCGGTGCGCCTGGTAAAATGGTCTCATTCTCCCAAATTTAATGAAATGCTACAAGAAGATGTAAAGTTTGATAAAAGTTATGTGACCCATAAAGGTGTTCCCTCCCCCAGATCCTCCATTAAAACTATCTGCTGTATCTAAAACAAGAATCAATTCAAACTGTGAACCCCCTATAGGGGACCCAAATCTAATTATAATGACAAGACTATTTGGTAAAGAATATTGAAAATCTGGGTTTATAAGGAAAAGGAGCAGAAAAGTTTGAGGAGTCTGTAGGTTGACTGCCCACACTACTGCTGTGTGTGATTTTCATTGGTAATCATTTTTCCAAATTCCATGATTTCTGAATTGTTGATCTGATATGATTTACTGTTGATTTCATGAATTGGATTTTGAATTATTGCTTGATTACTTGGTCAATAAATTGTAAATGTTTGATTTTATTCTGACTGACTCTAAGATTATTTCTCCCAAATAGATAATCGGATTTGTATACTTCCACAAGTTTTGAGTCAGATTAGTGACTATTTATATCCGACATCACTTCAATCAGCATGCTTGGGTGCAAAGACACGATATTTCTGTCTAAGTAACAGCAAATATTGTTTGATCAGCTTAGATTTGGTGTGTCTCGAATACCTCTGTTCCCTTTCGTTGTCACTCCGAGTTCCGTCGGATGATGACGAATGGGATTTTCGCTTAGAAAGCCTATCAGCTTCAATCAATATAAAACGATCCAATAGCAAAGAAATGCCATCGGTCTGCGGATTTTGCATAGCGTAACGCTGCCTCACCTCGTGGGTATTTAAGGAGGACGCTGAACGCAAATCAGGCATGTTTTCGCTTTGGAGCCAAGTTCACTCTTTGTTCCCCAAGCATTCTCAAAGCTGATCGTCAGCTTCTTCAAAGAGAGTCTCGTGTTGGTGTGACGGCGAGTTCTCGTTTCCTTCTTTCTGTGCAGTGATTGCCTGAGAGTGTGTTTCTCCCCAGGCGCTTCAGCACTGAAATTTCTATCACAAAAGAGCTTGCACTTGGCACGTTTTTTTAAAGATGCCTCACCCGTGAACTTCTGCATGTGGCAGATTCGTTTCTGACTCTGATGGTCACGATCGTTGTCTAGTGTGTTTGGGCATTGATCATGCTAGAGCAGCGCTCGTGGATGAGTCATGTTCTCTCTGAGGCAACATGACCATCTCGTCACTAGTACTACGGTCGAGACTCAATGAGCTCACAAGAGTCCTCTCATCCACACCCCGATCTACTGACTCTAGAAATAGAGCTAGTACTTCGGCTGGTGGCCAGGGTGACCTGAGGGTGACGGTGTGGAACAAAGCGCCGACTACACGTCCGTGCTCTGCACCTACCCTTCCCGTGACGATGCCAGTCAGCGTTCAGGGGGTGCTCATGGGTTCATCCTCAGATGTTCCTGGGTTTCCTTTGGCATTGCTTTGGCGTTGCAGAGGATGATGCAATGTCTGTCGCAGCATCACAAGGCGGCAGGATTCGTCAAGTGAGGATCCCGACCCCGAGATGACTGCCATGTTTTCCCGGTCAGCTGCAAGCATCGGGTTGGAGTAGTCTCCGCCATAGCACGCCGCCACGGGTCAACTGGGAAAAGAGCAAACTTTGCCCCATGCAGAGGATCTCTTTTCTCGGTACCGATATCGACTCAGTCGCCATGTCCGCACAGTTTACGAGCGAGCTCACGCAGTCACTGCTGACCTGCCTGAGACAATTCGAGGGCAAGAGTGCAGTTCCACAGAAACTTTTTCAGAGGCTCCTTCAGGGGCTTCTGGCATTCGCAGCCGCAGCAACGCCACTCAGAATGCTTCATATGAGACCGCTTCAGCATTGGCTTCACGATCGAGTCCCGAGGTGGACATGGCAACACGGCACTCTCCAACTATCAGTTACTCCGACCTGCCGTCAGACCTTCACCACGTGGAGGAACCTCAGTTTTCAATGGGCCGTTGTATCCCTGGAATGAGCTTTCCAGCATGTTGTTACGACAGATGCCTCTGCCACGGGCTGGGGTGCCATGTGCAATGGACGTGCTGTCGCGGGCTCCTGGACAGGACCCCAGCACCTACGGCACGTCAATTGCCTCGAGTTGCTGGCTTTAGAGCTCTCTCTGCGCCGCTTCCAAGAACCAGCATGTACTAGTATGAACAGGCAATACCGCAACTTTAGCGTACATCAACCATCAAGGTGGTCTGTGCTCCCACCGTATGTCGCAACTCGCCCGCCACCTCCTCATATGGTGTCAGAAGCGTCTGAGGTCCTTTCGTGCCATTTATATTCCCGGAGCCCTGAACCACGCAGCCAACGAGCTGTCCCGGCTTCAGCCCCTCCCTGGAGAATGGCGACTCCATCCCCAGGCGGAACCAGCTGATTTTGGACCAGTTCGGGGACACAGAGATAGATCTGTTTGCCTCTCATGACTCGACCCATTGCGCCCAGTATTATTCTCTTACCGAGTGCACCCTCGGCACGGATGCACTGGTGCACAGCTGGCCGCAGGGCCGCAAATATGCGGTGGTGGCTACCATCACTTCCGCTAGGGTGTCGTCCACAAGACAGTGGAACCTTTTCGTCAACTGGTGCTCTTCTCACCGACAAGACCCCCAGAGATTTTCAGTTTTGTGCTTTCCTTCCTTCAAGAAGGGTTGGAGCGAAGGCTGTCTCCCTCCACCCTTAAGGTCTACATCGCCGTTATTGCCGCACACAATGACCTTATCGATGGTAAGCCTTTGGGGAAGCACGACCTGATCGTCAGGTTCCTGAGAGGAGCGAGGAGACTGAATCCTCCTCGCCCTCCTCTTGTGCCCTCTTGGGACCTCTTAGTGGTTCTAACTGCCCTGAAGAGTGCTCCATTTGAGCCTTTGCAATCAGTTGAGCTTAAGCTGCTGTCAATGAAGACAGTGCATCTGATTGCATTGGCCTCCATCAAGAGGGGACCTGCACACATTCTCCGTTGACAAAGCATTCCTGGAATTCGGGCCGGGCCTGGATATGTGCCCAAGGTTCCCACCACTCCCGGCACCAAGTGGTGAACCTGCAAGTCCTGCCCTCGGAGGAGGCAGACCCAGCCTTGGCACAGCTCTGTCCAGTACATGTTCTCTGCACCTATGTAGACAGAATGCAGTGTTTCAGGGCCTCAGACCAGCTCTTTGTCTGTTATGGTGGGAAGCAGAAGGGAAAGGCTCTCTCTAAGCAAAGGTTGTCTCACTGGATAGTGGACGCCATTGCTTTGGCATACCAGCAGTAAGGTCGACCCTGCCCCCTTGGTGTGACTGCCCACTCTACCAGGAGTGTGGCGTCCTCTTGGGCTCTTGTGCATGGCACCTCGCTAATAGACATCTGCAGAGCTGCAGGCTGGGCAACAGAGTCTATAATCTCAGAGTGGGGCCTGTGTCCCCTCATGTACTCGCTTCAACCAGCTAGTACCTTAGGTTTCTTCGCTTGCTCGCCATTCCACTCTTCGGACTGGATGCGTGCGATATTCTCCTCAGGTGAGCTTCAGAAGCCTTGAGTTCCTCCAGCGCCCCTGACGTTGGTGCCAGTGTCTATTTCCTGGGCGTCGGCTAGGTGCCTTCCGTGTGCATGGTCCCTCCCCTGAGCGACCCCCACATGTGTATTTCCACTGTAGTTTCCTCTGCCTCTCTAAGCTTGTGTCTTTCCCTCGGCAAGCCACCTTGCCAACCCCTGGGGTTGAAATATTCCACCTGCTGCTGGACACATATGCATATGCACATAAGATTCCCTATATGCATCCCTCTGGGTCATATGTGTATTCCAAATCTCAGATATTTAGCCAATCGCCTCTGTTTGATGACCGGAAAGTGGCGAGATTGTGTCGAACACCTGTGAAAGATGCAATGACCTCAAAGTGGTAGGCTATAGTTTCCTAATTTGAGCGGGTAAAACATAATTAAGAGTTAAAAAAGATTAATCAAACATTCGTTTTTATAAACTTTTATCAGTTTTTTATAATTTATAAAACTTAGTTTTACAATGATAATGTGCTAATAATTCTTTGACTAATAATTCAAACTTTGACATAATTCTTTTAGTTGTAGACAATGTATGAGACTACCCGTGTCCCCCACCTCATCTCTCTCTGATTGGAGGTAAGAGGCTTGCCAGTTGAAGCTCAGCACAATCTGACTAATCTGATTATCTTAAAATGGACTCCTATCAATCATGAGCTAGCGTGAGATGCACACAAGCAGGCCTAGTGCTAGTGAGATCAGAGAGTTACTTGTTCCAACCAGCAACAAGTTAAAGGTATAGGGCAGAAACAGTCATGAACAAGTAAAAGTGTTAAAGGTTTGTGTTTATGTCCCCTCAACCTCTTGAGACTATTATGACCTTGATCAAGACACTTGTGGTGCTGTAACACGTGTACTGAAAAAAAATGTGAATTGATGGAGAGAGAGAGAGAGAGATAAATGATATGGTTGCTGTGTCTTTCTCTGTCCGGCACAGCATGTTGGATCAAAACATGAACTTGGTTTCCATTGCTCCAACAGCACCCTGATTAACCTGAGACGACCACATAGTGTTTAATAGGGCTGTGGCCAAAGCTAAGCCAATATTGCCATTGGCTGCATGGAGGTCCTCTTTCTGTGAGGACCATTAATGCGTCCAGTAAAAGGGAAGGAAAGATTAAACTGGATCAAGTGACAAGCGGCAACATTCTGTCAGGACTTGTAGAAGTAGGGAGTAACAATAAACAGTCTTCATTTAAACAGGTAGATGGCAAATACATTGCAGGCAGAAAACAACCACAAAGATGATGAAGCAATGGAACACATCTAGGTTGCACCACATACACCCTACACGCCAGTATATTGTATATTGATGAGATGTTTCTTTTTTTCAGGGAGACTGGAGGCATAGGTAATGTTGAGACTAGTTGAGACCAGACAATGATTACATGTGCATGTGTGTGGCGCAGGCTTTTGCAGTGTGGAGCAGATGAGAGGGATTGCTGGAAGCCAGGGAGGATGATGGGACATGTAGTGCAGAGGTGACAGGTGACACACTCAATGACACACTCAGACCAAACCATTACTTTACTCTGAGGGAAAAGAATGGTCCAAAACATACACCACCATTCAAAAGTTTGGGGTTTGCATAAAAAGATTTCAGGATTCTTTGATGAATACAAAATTCAAAAAAACATTTATTTGAAATAGGAACATAAGCCACTATCATGAGTCTGAGCTCTTATTATATATTTATTTGAATTAATTTGTATAAATTAGTTTGTATAAAGTTGAATAATGTCCCAAGCACTGCTCCAGTTTTGGAGGACTGCTCAAGGATATAGTCAGAACATAATCTTCACAGGCTTTTGACCTTAAAGCGCTTACCACTCCTCAAGCTCTGACTACCCGACAGGTACCTCTCTCTTGTGTCATATTATATCTCCATCCTTCCATTTCATTTTTTAAACGGCTTCTCTAAGAGCTTGCTCACCTTGTACCATTTTATCCAAGCCTTCTCCAGGAAGCCTTTAAGCACCTCTATGTGTGACCCACAAATATCAGGCTAAAAAGTAATTTTTATGTCGAAGCAAACTATAATAAAAGCGTGTAACAGTGTTGTGCGACTCAATGTCACAATGAACAAAGGTATCGTGGCTTAGGGCTTCCTGGGAACTCAAATCTCATTTGACCTGTTGGGCATTCCTAGCCAAGCTTATAAACTCAAGAAAGATCAAGAAGTAAGGAGGAGGAGTGGGAAAGAAAGAGGGACACACTGACACTTGGGATTTTTAAATGTAACATGAGGATGTGTTACACTAATGGTTTAACACAATCATCATCTTTTTGTGAAATTGTGCTTTGTGATCTTCATATGGTTCGCTTTTCTGTCCATTGTGTTAACTTGATACACTTTTACTGTCACATAGATGTATGTATAGACAATATTTTTCCTCATTTAAATATTTTTCCCTAAAATAAATCAATGGGGAAAAAAAGAGACTTTAGTCATGTCAATAGCAGAACAAAATACTGATGATATAACCAGCAAAATATCACTATTTTCTATTGGACTATTACTTACGGCTGACTGTGTATAGTGAATTTCGGGGGACCACCATATTGGCTACTGTAACATAAACTAAAACAATGACAGAGTGCACCTGAGGAAACAAGTTGGAGCAGGACAGTACAGGTACAATCGGTTACACTTGTTGGCTCACTGTTGATCCTACAGAGACAGTGCATGGAATCAAATTCTCAGCCATCTTAATTATCAACCATCACGCAATTGTCACGGTATTACATAAAAAATTAAGTAGTCTGCCAAAACCAACCATTTATAGTATTTCAATGGGGAATATTTCAATTTACTTCAAATTGTCAATCAATATCAATCAATATATTTCCACAAGCCACAAGCTCACATTCACTGAGGAGACAAAATGCCTTTTGCCATGTATGTGTGGAATGGATTATAGGCTAAAGAGGGTTAAGAAGTCACCTCTTAGATTCCCGACCTGCCCCTCCTTTCTCCTCTGGTTATTCCTTCTCCCTCTCTCTCCCTCTCTCTCTCCCGCTCTCTCTCTCCCTCTCTCTGTCAGTAAATCTGTGTGTTCCCACTAAGACCCAGGACTCAGAGAGGCTCTTTTTCGAGTGGCCTCCCCCATTAGGCTCTCCAGACTGGGGCAGGACTCAGTTTAATAGAGGGCCTTCAACCTCCCGGGACCACAAACCAAAAATCAACTATCCATTGTAAAAAGAGAAAGGTGGATTTCTACTTCTATACTTTTTATACAATTCTTTTCAAAGACATTTTTTTTAAAGACTGTCCTTCTATTATTTTTTACATGGAATATTTGTTTTTTCTCCACCTTCAATTTGGACTTTTACATTTTTAATTTGAATTTTGTCATCTACACCCACCTCTCTGGGAGTGCAGTACGTCTGGTCTCCCGCTGGCTCTTCCCAGACTCTCTGTGTGCTAATGGAACGAGCACTCATCATGGCTCTCAATTAGCCCCACACACAACAGGTTAGCCAATCTTTCGCTCTTCTATTAAACAATCCTTTATTAAGTAGTTAAGTAATTAAAGTAGTTTTCAGTATTAAATTTGCTTGAGTATACCCGGATTCATAGAGAATTATGGGACTTCACTGAGGGATGCCAAGTAATCTTAGGTTGTTACAACATCATTAGAGATGCTTTGGCTTTTTTTAACTTTGTATAAGCAGAGTTTGTAAAATAATTTTGTTAAATATAATGTATACATTATTTTATTTCTCTATTCTGTTTTCTTATCAGCCAAAAAGTAGTTTTGAATACGTAATTTTATTGGGTCTACTTAGTTAAATGTCAACTGTTTGTATCAATTTACGAAAGATGTCAATTGCTAACTATGCTAAACTAACATTCAAACTAACTATGCTAAACTAACATATATGATTCTTTGTGATGAAGAAATATTATTGTTTTCTAGTACAGGTGTCCATTCCCTATTATGTTTTTGTATATTCAGTCACCTAAACTAACCCATTACATACTTTATACATATCCAGGCACAAATGCCTCAAAATAGGCAGTGTAGAAGAAACGTTACTGCAAATACTGCTTTTTAATACACCATTGGCTAAAAAGGAGGTTATAAGTAGACAGAAAAACTTTCCAGTATTCTCATTTAGATTTTTTTTTTTTCGATTTTAATTTTGTATGTGCAGCTTAATATCCATACATAAGAAGGACAAAATATGATCCATGTGTACGTGTTCAGATCATGAGATTCAAACAGTAATTTCCAGCACTCGATCAGCTAAAATAATAGCATTGGCGCATTTACAGTATATAACAGGACAACTCATTTTGAATGTAAAAGCAGCCTTGACAAATCTTATTAGTAACAAGGAATATCAAGATTTAAAAGCTCAATGAGATGGCATTTATGGAGCTGACTGCTGACATAACCATATTGTCCTAAATATAATAGCTTTGATGACCAGATTTACATATTTAAATACTACAAGTGAAATATTTAAGCAGCTTGTATCAGGAGAACCAAAAATGTGTGGTGTAAATTACTTAAACACAGGAGTAACATGAGCCTGACAGCAAGGTCCCGTGCAATCTGCTGTAATCCTGAGGTATTTTAGTGCTGGCTACAGGTCCAAAGAAAGAAAGAAAGCCAGACGGTTAAGACATGAGGTGTAGAGAGGAAAGTTTTAATACAGAATACTAAACACATGGATTCAAAGTTGAAGAATAACGAAAAATCTAATAAATAGATGAAAAGACTTCTGACAGGTCAATACAGGGTGATGATTGTGTAAAGAGATAATGTTGATTAAGATTAAGATTGATTAAGCCTCACGTTATTTGGCAGTTATTATGGCCAGGGCTAATGAAGGCAGAGCTTGTAATCTGCTTTCTGCCTGCTGAGCAATAGATAGAGGCAGAGAGAGAGACAGCCTAGTACATGTTGTGTGCCACTTCACCCCAGCTCCACCTTTAAACACAGATGGCACATGAGTCAGGTGAGGAAATGGTTGGTCAGCTGACCAGATCAGGTCTCTAGGATCGCAGTGGAAAGGCCAGAATGAGAAGTGGTTTGAAGAAGACTTCAAGACTCTGCTTGGTCATCACAAAACCATTGTTAGCAACCCAAACAGCATTTAATTGAAGAAAGAAGCATTTCATTAATTTAAAGAAGTAATATATAGATATCATTCTGTTACAATAAATAAATATGACTATACAAATATATTTCATCCTCGCTAAACACATAATTCAGTCTGGAACCCTATATTTCTGTCTCAGTTAAGACTAAAAAAGAAATTGCAGAGATAAAAGATAGCAGAAATTAAGTCACATTGTGAGATGTAGTCACAATTCTTTATTTATTTTAAATGTAATAATTCATTTTAATAGAATTATTAAACAGTATATACATATTTAGTCAAACAGTCAATGCATTCTTATCCTACGGCGTCATATAGTGACGCATTTGACAATGTGTAGCCTATACATCCAACGAACATGACACACTTCGGTGAAACAGTAATTTATAAATTCTTAATATTTTAGTGGAAATCGTGATACATTTTTGACATTTGTGACATTTATTGTCATTGCTGAATAAAAGTATTAATTTTGTTCAAAAACATCTCACTGACCCCCAGCTTTTGAACCACAGTGGAGATCTGTTGACCTAGGTGAATGACCCAGATGCTGATTTGAGCCACTTTTGCATCACTAATAATAGTAAACAATGGTGAAAAGAACTGCAGTATTCTAATTCTAAGAAAGACTAATTTTTTCTTTTTCTGTTCTGTTTCTGTCCCTTGTCTTTTCTCTCAAACACAACTGCAAACATTTGCTCCATGTCCATAACAGACGGTGATGGCTGGTTATTGTGCAATAGTTTTGGGCTAGTGCCCCTCAGTGGGTAGAACTCAAATCGAGAGCTGGGTGTTTTGAGTGTTTTTATCAGCCATCTTACTGTCCCTGACAAAAATATTCACATAAACACACAACATCTCTCAGTGCCACCTGTTTTCCAAAAAAAAAAAATGGAAATGGATGACCACAGAAACTCTAGCTTTCTTTGCCAGTCCCACGACCCACGATGGCAACCACAGTCTTCAGCAGCAAAGCGACGACGAAAACCAACCTCAAAGCAAAAAGCAAAAAGCCCAGATGGCCCAGCGAGCTCGGTGTCCTCGACTCCAGTGCTACGCAGCCACAGCTGGTGGTGGAACAGTTTGCTCTTTCCTCTAGTCATGCTATCATACTTGCCCTGTGAGGCTTGGGGCACCACCTTCAAAATTGCCATCGTAGGACCATGGGCGTGCGACCCTATGTACTCCAAAGCCCTGCCAGACCTGGCTGCCCGATTAGCCATTAGCCGTATCAACAAAGACCCCGAGCTCAACAAAGGCTACTGGTATGATTACACACTAATTAATGAGGATTGCTCGAGCTCGAGAGGCCTGGCACGCTTTGCCGAGCTGGAGGGTTACGGTTCGGCCTTTCTTGGACCGGCAAACCCTGCCTACTGCACTGCTGCTGCACTGCTGGCAAAGAATTGGAACAAGGGCATCCTGTCCTGGGCTTGCCTGAAGGCTGACATGAATGAGGAAATGTATCCCTCCTTTCTGCGGCCGCTCCCTTTGTCTTCTCGCGTGCTCTTCTCTGTGCTGCGCTTTTTCCGCTGGGCACATGTTGGGATTATAACTGCCGAGAACGACATGTGGGAAGCGACTGGGCATGAACTTGCAGCATCCCTGCGTGCTCTTGGTCTGCCAGTTGGCACGGTTGTTACCATGGGGGCGGACAAGGAGGGACCACGACGAGCCCTAAAGACAATACGAGAGATGGATCGAGTGAGGGGTGAGTTATTTTTATATTTTTTTAAAATCTACACTTAAAATGCGCAACAAGTAACTCTTAACTAAAGTTTTTAGAACTTCAATTAAAAACAGGGGATTACAGAACAGTGGTTGGAGTTTTCAAATGAAATGATCTGACTGCTTAGATCAATTTAATCTTTGATTAAGGATTGAAAATATTATCCATATGTCATATAAAAGAAAATGTATGTAATCTAAAATCTGTACACACACACACACACACACACACACACATATATATATATATAAAATGAATAATGTTTATTTATAATTTAAGTGTGTGATCTTCTGTTTGAGTGTGATATTATTTGGACAGACTATAAATATTATCTGGGCAAAAAATTGTGTTATATCTCTCATTGTTTTTTTTTTTTTAAATAATTATTAACATCAACTTGTTCCTTCCTTCGTTTATCGCTTAAATGTTTTGTCCTCCCTCTTTATTTTGTGTGTGCGTGTGTGTGTGTGTGTGTGTGTGTGCAGTTGTCATTATGTGCATGCACTCTGTTCTTATTGGTGGAGAGGAACAGTATAAGTTGCTAACCACAGCACTGGACATGAGAATGATTGACCGAGGATACATCTTTATTCCATATGATACACTGCTGTATTCGCTGCCATATAAAAATGTGAACTATCCAATCTTGGCCAATAACACCAAACTACGACGAGCATATGATGGGGTCTTAACAGTAACCATGGACCAAGGGGAACAAAATTTCTATGAGGCCTTTTATGCAGCACAAGGATCCTATGACATCCGCAGCAGCACACCAGCTGAAGAGGTAACGCACTGGGTTCGAACTCGTCTTACCAAATGGTTTTAGAACTAGTGGTCTCATTTTAAAGCGATATAGGGACACAAATTGCAAAAGCAAATGCTATAGTTATTACTAGAAGGAATCTTTGCCACAATAGTGACACTTCAGATGTTTTTTAGCACAGAAAAAAAGGTGTTAAGCATTATGTTTAATATGTAGATAATTTTAATATGTAGGCTGCATAAGTATGCTAAAACATTTGGAGGTTGGTGTTTTGTCTCTAAAGGGTTATACTCTATAAAAATAACCCATAAAAACATATTTGATACTTAAAATTAAAGAAATGTTACCTAAGATTAAATAAAATATTTCGAAAACTATTGCACTGACATGTTTTAAGATGTTTCAGTACAAGTGTCTTTCTGTTAAAACAGCTCAAACATGCATTTTAGTCTGTACTAAGTTTAAGCCTTGTCTGTGCAACCGGGGGTTGATGTAAAATAACAAACTGAAATAAAAATTAATAATAAAAAATCTAGAAACATCGTAATGAGTAATGAGCAAAATATTAATTCAAAAACAATTAAAATATTAGTAAAATAGTGATACTAAAATAACACTTTGATAAAGTGAACAACAAACACTTATTATGTTTTCCCTGGTATGAGAAATTGCTTAGAATCACACTAATACTCTTGTGTTGTTTGTCCTATTTTTGTGTTGTTGTTTTTTGTCTTTCTTGGCAGGTTTCTCCATTTTTTGGGACCATTTATAACATGCTCTATTATACAGCCATGGCTGCAGAGCAGAGTCGTGCTTCAAGTGGTGGGCGCTGGGTATCGGGTGATGCACTGGCTAAAAACGACGGCGGATTTGAATTCAATGGCTTTAACCAAAGGATATCAGCAGGTTCTGATGGAGAAGGAATGCAGGCACGCTACGCTGTCCTGGATTCAGATGGCTCTGGCTCCAGCCTACACCTCACACACGCCCTCGAAGCACCGCACACGTATGGAAAATATGGAGGGTTGAAGTACTTGGGGAAATCGATTCATTTTGCTGGAGCATCTCCGAGCAGTGACTCAAACTGCTGGTTCAGCCCTTATATCGCTTGTAGTGGGGGTAAGGAAGCAGAACGCCTTATGCCAGGTTTCATTACATTACATTCTATGACATTAACATCACGACTGATTCTGTTTCTCATTCTTTCTTTTTTGTTTCAGGCCTGGATGGAGTTTTCTTCCTTCTTTTGTTGTTTATTGTGTTGATAGGTGGAGCAGGTGTCCTTTTCTTCCATGTAAGGTATGAATTGACTTGCTTGAGTTTTAGCAAACCACCTTGTGTTGAACAAGTTTAATGTCTTACTGATAAACAAATAAGTATATGAGTTTGTGTGTCCAGGAAACACGGTCAGGTGGGGATATTAGGAGGGTTTGGTGGTGGAGGAGGAGGAAGCTCTGTTAAGATAGTGCTAACACTGGATGACTTGGTCTTCATCAACACCACACTCAGCAGGCGGGTCAGTCACACATGCTCTCTCTCTCTGTCTCATTCACTTTTAATTGATCTCTCTGTGAGTAGAAGCTGAATGAGGAGAGTGTGATAATAATTTAATTTAATATAATTTTAGTGCGTGCTCTGTTGCGAATGTGATGGTAATAAATAGGACAAGAATGAGTCTATTACTCAGTCATTAATTGTCTCTTCTTCATAGATTTTTTGTTGATGCTTCTCTCATTATCAATGTCTCTCTCTCTTCTTTCTCTCTGTAGAAGCTAAACGAGGATAGTATGATAAAGAGTCAACTCGATGTTAAAACCCCACACCACTCAGTTTCAGCTCGCAGTTACATTACTTCAACTCCTGAAACGTCCAACGTTGCTGTTTTTGAGGTGTGTGAAATCTGTGCAAAGTGTTTTGGTTCTATATTAAAGCAATATCACACACACAAGATGAATTTTGTACTGAATACCTGAAGGTAACCTATATTTTAGACAAAATTTGACCAGTTAGTTTGTATATTTTTCCCCACCAATGGATATAGTTTCAAAGAAAGTCTAATGAGCCAAACTTTGGTGTTTTGTTAAATTGAATTGTTCCGTCTTGTCAGGGTGACTGGGTTTGGCTGAAGAAATGCGCCTGTGGAGATTCTGTTTCAGAAATCGCTGAGAGTACACAGGCCATCTTTATCAAGGTAAGAGAAAAAGTGAGAGAAAATAAATGAAAGTTAGCTAGTAAGTTGTGGACACGTTTTAAAAGGAAAACTGAATGCTGCTTACCTTCTTTACCCTCTTTTTTACTTCTGTTTGCTCCCCTCTCTCTCTCTCTCTCTAGCTGAGAGACATGCGCCACGAGAATCTGAACTTGTTTCTGGGTCTGTTCCTGGATACTGGCATATTTGGCATTGTTACAGAGCACTGCACCAGAGGCAGCCTGGAAGACCTACTCAACAATGAGGAAATGAGACTGGACTGGATGTTCAAATCCTCTCTTCTCCTTGATCTGATCAGGGTGAGGAATTGAAGCTATGGAAGGAAAGTTCGATTAACAAAGGGTTGAATGAATGCATAGATGAACATATATGTAAGAACAACTCAGTAAGAAGATTAAGATATGGATGAAAATGTGGTAAAGAATTACTGGCTGCATGTTAAGTAATGAACTCTCAAAGATGTCACCTGCGTCCATCTTCTCATTCATCTCTGTCATTTTTTCTCTTAGGGAATGAAGTGCTTGCATAATCGTGGGATTATTCATGGACGCCTGAAGTCAAGGAACTGCGTGGTAGATGGCAGGTTTGTTCTGAAGATTACAGATTATGGCTATAATGAAATCCTCAACTGTCAAAACATCAACTTGGAGGACAACAATCCGGAGAGTACGTATAATACATATGGAAAGTGTTCTGAGAACCAGGATATAGAGGCTCCTATTGCTTGCTTTATGTATTCCGTCTTTCTGGTTGAGTCTGATCTCTGTATCTTTGAATCAGATCTATTTTGGACGGCTCCAGAGATCCTGCGGGACCCTAATCTGAAGAGGAAGGGGACGTATGCAGCAGATGTATACAGCTTTGCTATTATCATGCAGGAGGTGATCTCTCGCTGCGCACCCTTCTGCATGTTGGATATGCCTCCTGAGGGTTAGACACTATCGCATACCACTACATAATCGCTTACTACATCAATGTTAATTTTTCCATGTTTACCTAATTAATTGGAGAAGCTGAAAATAGCAGTGATTTAATTTGTTTGGAGAAATTCTCTTGTGTATCTCTGTGTGCAGAAATCATAGATAAGGTGCGCTCTCCTCCACCGCTGTGCAGACCCACTGTGTCTGTGGATGAAGCTCCGCTGGAGGTGATTCAGATCATGAAGCAGGCCTGGAGTGAGGAGCCTGACAAGAGACCCACATTTGAGGAGATCTTCAAACAGGTACAGCTTCTTTTTCTCTCATGCGCGCGCACACGCAAACACACACACACACACACACACACACACACACATAGAGCCGATCAGCCCTATATGCACTCTACGCAAGTTGCGTAGGGCCCCACAAACTACTCAAGGCCCTGCCTCCCCCCTCGTGTCAAAGTGCGTCAATCAAAGTTTACAACATCGATATTAAGCGGAACTCTCCTTCTGGTCACGAAAACTGGAAAAAAAAACAACCTTGTGGTCTCTCCAAGTTTGATGTCAGCAAAGAACAGTAAAGTTAAGTTGATGTGCATCTCTCTCTAGTGACTAGAGTCTAGTCTGTCTGTCTGTCTGTCACATGCATGAAATGAAATGCTCAGCAACACGTCTGTGGGGACCAGGACAATATATAGGCTCGATGCCACTCCTCATTATAGGCGCTCACACTTTTAAAACAAGACAATGATTATCTAAGCAATGTATTGACATTGACTTGATTTACAGGCTATTGCATTTAAAATGTTGATTAGCTGGACAAACTGATCAATATGGATGCATATCTCTCAGTAAAATATAACCATCAAGTATTGCTTTTATTTTTTAAAACACAGTAACATACTTTAGCAAGCCTTTTTAGCTTTTATTCATTCACAGGATGCATTATATCAATTAAATTTGTTCTATTTAAAATGTGAATTCTTGATATTAAAAATGTACATTTTCTAGTAACAATGTATTTCTCTAATATCAGAAATTAGATTTTCATTAGTACTAGTTTAAAGGAGACCTCCGGTGCAAAATCAACCTTTGGTCTAATTACACATCGGTACCTAGTCGACCGTTCTCTGAGATTTTTTTCATGATAATCGAATCTAAAGTGTTTTATCTCTAAAAACTGTTTAGCGTATACGCTTGTAATGAGGGCATATAATAAGTAAAGAGAAATCGCTAGTTAATACCACTAACAAGGCTCAAAATAGCCCCACACTAACACAGTAACATAATGAGTGTCCCTACATGCAAAACGAAGCATTGAGAACTTTTTAAGTGTACAGACCGTTTAATAAGAAGATACTTTATAAAGACTGTCCACTTCGTGTATACAGATGGGAGCCATCTTTGGAAAACAGTCTCGACAAGTCGAACCACGAATGTCGTGCCAAGTGAGCTGAACTGTATGAAGTTCAGCGAACTTCTGAACTGTATGAACGGCGTTCGTGGTTCGACTTGTCGAGACTGTTTTCCAAAGATAGCTGCTGCCTGTATACACAAAGTGGACTGTCTTTTCAAAATATCATCTTATTAAACGGTCTGTACACTTACAAAGTTCTCAATACTTCGGTTTTCATGTAGGGACCCTCATCATGTTGCTGTGTTAGTGTGGGGCTATTTTGAGCCTTGTTAGTGGTATAAACTAGCGATTTCTTTTTACTTATTAAATGCCCCCATTACTAGCGTATACACTAAACTGTTTTTAGAAATAAAACTCTTTACATTCGATTATCATGAAAACAAATCTCAGAGAACGGTCGACTAGGTACCAATGTGTAATTAGATCTCCTTTAAGGAGGTAGGATTGTAGTGGGAACACTGGGGTGTCACTGTGTGGCAATGGGAAATGGTTTACATGGCTCATGTAGGAGGGCCCCTTAACAGAATTTTGCTTTGGACCCCAGGGAGGACAGGATCGGCTCCACACACACACACAAACACATTCTCATGAGAACTGTATATACACCTTACAGTACCTCTAAACAGATTTCGGATAGTGCCACCTTTGTGGGGGCATTTTATTCCCATAATGTAGAGTTTACCGGAACATATTCACCATATAAAACATAGGGGAGAAAACAACAAAAAATACTGTTCTCTGTCTCTTACTTTCTTACTTGCAGTTTAAAAATGTGAACAAGGGAAAGAAGACAAATATAATTGACTCAATGTTAAGGATGCTGGAGCAGTACTCCTCAAACCTGGAGGATCTGATCCGAGAGAGGACTGAAGAACTAGAGGTTGAGCGTCAGAAAACTGATGCTCTCCTAGCTCAGATGCTGCCCAAGTGAGTCCCACTTCAGTCTAACTTCACCCTTCTTTCCCTATTCTCTTTTAGTTTCTAATAATGCCATTCTGTCTTTCAGGTCTGTGGCCTTGGCATTAAAGACAGGAAAGCCAGTAAAACCGGAGCACTTTTCAGACGTCACACTGTATTTCAGTGATATTGTAGGTTTCACCACCATCTCTGCTCTGAGTGAACCTATCGAAGTGGTCGATCTGCTTAACGACCTCTACATACTCTTCGATGGAATCATCGCAATCCACGATGTCTACAAGGTCTGCTTGAGCTTTTTTATGTTTCACTTATACTGTTGTTGTGGAAATTGAGGAGATTATTTCATGATACTGATCTCGGAATATCAGATTTTGAGTGTTTTTCCTGCAGATCCCTTTTAAAAATCAGGGACACATGGGACGATTCCCTTTCAAAAAGTAAACTTTTGTACCTTAGTTAGCTCTAAAAGGTGCATAATAATGCCCCTAAGGCTCATATAAGTGCCAAAATGGTATATATTTACATGTTTGAAAGGGTGTGCCCTGGTGAAAGGTTTTAGACCATTTTTTCTAAGAGTGCATAAAAAAAGGGAAAATGCTGCAAAATATTTATTCTTTGGTAAGATAGTCTTCTAAAGATTTTAATCAAAAGATGGGATAAATTAAAATAATATATTATTTATAATAACATTTTATAATCCGAGGTCATTTCTATAGCACATGCTAATTTTTTTATTACAAAAACGTTATTTTATATGACATATATCAACAGGTGGAGACTATTGGTGATGCATACATGGTGGCATCTGGTGTTCCGAACCGTAATGGTAACCGTCACGCTGCAGAGATGGCCAACATGTCTCTGGACATTCTGCACTGCATCGGAACATTTCAAATGAGGCACATGCCTGACGTCAAAGTCAAAATCCGCATTGGACTCCATTCTGGTAAGAAAAGCACAATGCACACAAACACTTACACCAATAACATTCAAAAGCTACGGGTCTTTTGTGGTGATTTTTTTGTTGTTGCCGGTTTTTGCTTTTATTGAGATAGTAGTAGTAGAGAACTGCCAGGAAGCTAAGTGAGAAAAAGATGGGGATAGTATTGGGAAAGATACCTGAGCCAGGACTCCAACTTGGTTCGCTAGAAGTGCAACTGCACTATTCGTCGAAGCGCTGCCACAAGGCTTCAACACGGTTTAAATAGCAATATTGTGAAATTGCAAATTTAAAATAACAGTTTCTATTTTATTGTAAAGCACTTTACCAGCACTTTAAGCCCTTCTCACAAAGTTAAAAATCGGCCATATATTTTCAGTTACAAAACTGGCCTAGTCTTACAGTACATCACCAAACTGAACATAGTGCTAAATGTAAATACGTATTTACACTTGATCCTCTGATGGCTGTGTATTCCTAGAACAAGTGAAATGTAAATCCCAGGCATCATCCAATTAACAGATTCATCCAATTATGGCCCTTTCCCCCACCCCCCAACTCAACAGTGATCACATGGTGCTTGCACTGGTGTGACTGACGCAGCGCTATGTAATTCATTGAAATGTAATGCAGTCGCTAATGTTCTAACTTAGTATTTTGTGTGTCTGTACAGGTCCAGTGGTGGCGGGTGTAGTTGGGTTGAAGATGCCTCGGTACTGTCTGTTCGGGGACACTGTAAACACAGCTTCCCGAATGGAATCCACAGGGTTGCGTGAGTCCACCTAAAACTTTTGTGTTGTATGTGTATATACATCAGCACGTGTCTGATACTAACAATGTAAGCTTTTTTGACTTGTCTGTGAAGTCGTGATTCCAAGAATTTGTCTTTGCCTAAGATTCAGTAGTTAGTGCTTTGTGTGTGTGCTGATCAGGGAGTGCATGTCAGTGAGAAGCTCAGAGGGCTTAAAGTGAAGAGTTCCCTGTAAGCTCTTAAGAGTATAAGCCAAATTAGAAAGAAAATTCTGCTTTAAAGCTAATGTCCTCTTAGAACTCAGCCTCCGCTATCACCCTGAACTCTCACCTTTAATCAGGCCTTCTGTCACCTTTATCCAAGAACATTTACTTCACGTTTCATGCTGAAAAACATGGACGAAATGTGTGAAATTTGATTAAAGATTTGGTAACGCACTACCATTAAAAATAGTTTTTTTTTTTTAAAGAAATCAATGCATTTTATTCAACTGATCAAAAGGGAAGACATCATGACAAGCGACTTACAATTGGTATATATGTCAGAGGTCGCAAGCCTCTGGAGCAACTAGGGGTTAAGTGTCTTGTTCAGGGACACATTGGTGTCTCACAGTGGATTCAAACCTGTGTCTCTCACACCAAAGGCATGTGTCTTATCCACTGTGCCATCACGGCCACCCCTAATGATGCTGAAAATTCAACTCTGGCATCACAGGAATAAATTATATTTTAAAATATATTAAAATAACTAACAGTAAATATTAATCATATTTTTTTAAATCACTTATTTTACTTTCACTTATTTTACTTAAATCACTTATTTTACTTTTTTTAATAATATATATATATATATATATATATATATATATATATTACTTTTGAATGGTAGTGTGCATTGAATTAGGCTACCTCAGAATTATTGTATATGATCATATTGTAGAAGAAGACTTTGTTTGAAGATTATTTTTAAATGAAAGATTAAAGATGTTTTCATCATAGATTGGGCCACGAAAGTCACACGTTTAGTACTGTGTGATTTCACCTACGCAATGAAATGACGAGAACACATTTGCCCAAATAATCTGAAATAATTTTAAATGAAAGATTAAAGATGTTTTCATCATAGATTGTGCTACAAAGGTCACACGTTTAGTACTGTGTGATTTCACCTACGCAATGAAGTGACGAGAACACATTTGCCCAAATAATCTGAAAGAAAAAGAAAGAGTGGCTGAACGCCTCCAGTTATGTAACCTGCCTAGTGCATTGGATTGAAAACTTTAATAGTTAGAGGCATACTGTCATCTAGTGGTTTCTCAGGGAACATTATTACCTTCAACGAGAACTCTGCACTATGTTCTTGATGAGTCTGTATGAACTCATACAGAAGAAATCATTGTGGGCAATGATTTAGAGATACATTTGTAACAATTTATTTTGATTGATTATTTATTTAATAATTCATTTAATTTACTTTTTTTTTTTTGCTCTCCCTGTTTCTACAGCTTACAGAATCCATGTCAACAAGAGTACTGTTAATGTCCTGAACACCCTCAAACTTGGCTATAAAATAGATACTAGGGGCAGGACAGAGCTCAAGGTACACACACACACACACACACACACACACACTGACAAGTGTTTCTTCAGTTCATGCATTTTTATGTCTCGGTTGATTTTTATTAAAATTACTATAATGCTAACTATGAACAGACAGTAAAAAATATTCAATATTTTTTGTGTGAAAGTGATTGTATAATAAATACATATTTACACAATTTCATCTGTCCCAAATTTCTAGCATCATTTCCACCACAACACACAAGTTTTGTTCCTAATACAGATTTATCAGAAATTTTAATTGTTTGTAAAGATTTTTTTAACACTTGAGAAATGTGATGTGTGTAGAAACAAAATCGAGGCAAATACAACTAGAATACTAGTTTATTTAACCACTTTATTTAAAAAATGTTTACAATTTCCATCACCGTTATTTCCACCACATAATGTTATTGCACAGAACACATCATTTGAAATGTGATGGAAAAGAAACTATAATGGTTCATGAATTTCATTAAAAAAAAATTCTGCACTGTTGCATGTATGTCCACCATTGGACATTATTAGTAAACAAATTCAGTAAACTAGTGTGAGGGTGAAAGTGAGTTTCAAGATAGTTAATTCTTTTAACAATTCCCAACAAACACACACTATAACCAAGGGGACACACTCTGTTATACAGTATTGTACTTAATGCCTTATAAATGTCTTGAAGCCTGTCATATGAGCTCCTGTCATTCTCTTACAGGGTAAAGGTGTAGAGGAAACATTTTGGTTGGTTGGAAGGGATGGATTTACCAAGCCACTACCTGTACCGCCAGACCTTACTCCAGGGTAAGAAAGATAAACCAGAAACCACTTCTGTCTTTATGTACATCTAGAGTAAACTAAACGTGTTGTGTTGATATGCTGATATCTTTATTTATGTTGCCACAAAGGGCGAGCAACCATGGTATCAGCTTGGATGAGATTCCGCCTGATAGGCGGCAGAAATTCTTGGATCGACAAAAGAACATGGGGAACTGAGGTACAGAACAGAGACATTTCACTCAGTTCTGTCGCATTTGATTTATTTCTTTGTTTGGAAGATTTCAGTTTTCTTCCTAAAGAATGGATAAAAGAGTTTACAGTTCACTAATTTAGATTCTGTAACAACTATACCTACAGTACATGTCTTAGTTCTTTTATTCACCCTGTCATTCCAAACCTAGATGATTTTCTTTCTTCTACTGAACATAAAAAAGACATTTTGAAAAATCACTGGGATCCAATGTTGCTTTGAACACCGTTTAATTTATGTTGTGTTCTGCAGAAGAAAGAAAACATACAGCTTTGGAAACATGAGAGTGAGTAAATGACGAGAGAATGTACTTTTTTTTTGTCTGTCCCTTTAAGCTCTGCAACTTAAGGTTGTTCAAACTTTTGAACTCATGCTGTTCTGTTTCTGTGTCTTCCAATAGGCTGTGATGCTCATGTTTCTGCACCAGCCTATCGAATTTAGGAGAAAGTGGGGCAAGGGGATGAAAGGAGTGGAATGAGGTGTTCAAAAACCCCTCGACTTCTCTTTTTCTACCCGATTCATTCCAAGAAAGAGTGGAAAACCTCACTAGGACATCTGACAAAAGGCACAAACACTTGACCTGAAAGCCAGTCCATCGAAACCATCAGCTCAAGAAGATGGCATGTACCAGCTGCTATGGATGGTCACAGAACTTTTTTTTAAAAACTATAGTTTATACTGCAGTTCATCCAATACTAAATAAAAGACACTTCTGAGGTCACAGCTCATACAGACATGAAAATGAGAACAGCAGCACATGCCTCATTCATCTGTGATCCCTCCAGTTAATCCACTTCTACAAAGAGATTTATTTTCTTTATTTCATTGTTTATAAGACAAAAGTGAAACAAGCTAAAAACTAAAAATTGATGGTGCTTGTTTATAATGGCACCTGACAATTTAGTTATAATTCAGTGGAAATAACAGCAATAATATCCATGTGTTGAAAGGATTTAAAATACTGTTGAATTTATTTGCTAGGAATATCAGGTTTTAAATAAATAGGTGCTAGTTGAAAAAACAAACAAACAAACAAAAAAAACCCCGTCACATTCTTCAAATTTTCTTTTTGAAAATGCTTTCATTCTTGTTTCATTTCACGTGGCACTGTTTGGCCTTTATAGAAAGCGCAATGCATTCAGAGCAATTTTCATGGCCAATAAGAATAAGAATATATGGCAGACATTTACTTGCTATCATTTGAGTAGCTTACCTCAATTGTCCTCTTTGAGTTAAGAGTAAGATGTACTTTAAAAAAAGGAAACTTGTGAGCCGAGACAGACACAAATTGTCAAGTTTGCATTGCAATTGCATGTCACATTATCTTAATATACTCGGCACATTCCATGCATAATATTCTGATGTCAAACCCTGCTTCAGAGTCCTGAAAAATTACCAAAGGGAAAACATATCAGAGATTTATCCAAAGATTATCTCAGCACTATTTTGACTGCTCATGCACTCAGTAAATATGCTAGGTGCCCCAAAAGGGGAATTATTTGAAAGAATGCCATGACAGACTTTTAAATGTGTGGTCTGGATATCTTCATTAAGATAGGAGGGTTCTGGCGCCTGTGGCTGTCCAGGATGACGTTCTGTCACTCCATACGTCAACCACAATCAGCGGAGCTAGTCACAGCAGGATGTAGATGAATTTCAATTGCAAATCTCACCATTTTATCTTCTTTTCTGTGATTATGTAAATAAAAAATGGTTTTAGTGAATGTGCAGATTCTTTCTTAGTGTATGTGCTTATTTAACTCCATATCAGTATGTGATTTGGAGTTAATCCATGTAGTAATTAGCCTACCTTCCTAGAATTATGAAATGTAAATATTTGAATTACAAAAATAGCCTCGCTGAAGTTCTGCTCCACTATTGGAATTTAATTTTTTATCAACAACAAAAAGGTTACAAGATTTTCTCAGTCATCACTTAATTTATGTTTGTTTGGACAGTTTCAGATAACATGTCAGTTCAAAGTCTTCCAGCACATCTGAATAGCAAATATAATGTATCCACAAACACGGATGTTTCCCCCACATTGAACAAGAGTTACAGGTAGGCTATGAGGATGTCAACACACAAGAAACAAAATATCCCAGTATTAATTCTACCAAGATGGATTATGATTAATGTAAACATTTAATCAAGTTGTATATCAGTGCAACGATAGCCTACAAGAAAAAAAAGACATCTCTGTTTTGCGTGCATATGTCAAGGTTAATATGACTGATTGATAAAGACACACGGAGGATTGGGTGTCAACTCGCGCTCGGGTGACTCGAGTTAAACGGAGTCTGAGCTGAATTACAATTCGCCTAGAACTAGGACATGTTGGCTCCGCCCAATTATCAAAAGCCATCTCGTTGATTGGACACAGAAACGTAAATGAGGCGGAGTCCATGGGTGTGTCGTGAAGCGTGACCAAACTATGATTGGCTTGCGTCTCCCTCTATCAGAATCCGAATAGCGGCTCCTAGAGCCAAACCACATTTTACACATTAAGGAACTGTCTCCGGTAAAGTGACGCTGATACTAACACAGGATAGATAATATTGTGCCGTCTTGGTCATTGTTTTCAAATTGAAGTTGTTTAAATCGTCCGTCAAGAAACCAAACGAATTATTTTGACATTAGAGTAATAATTTTCTTATACTTTATTTTAAATAATGTGCCTAAATCATTAGGGTATGTCTTCTTTGAAATAATAAGACGAACACAATTCCGGTTAAGTCAACGGAGAACTCAATTGACATGCACTTCACGGACTTCAACGGAGTACGGTAACACAAGGTAAAAACCTCTGGAAATATGAAATTTGTAAAGTAAATATTATGCCTTCAAATTGGCTACCTATTTGTTATTATCTGAATTGTTGTCGTCACGTCGTATTACTTTATGTAGGTTTTGTAACAACCGCTGCCTGAATGAGTTCATTTTTTTATTGTGTTATCCATGACAGGTGTACCTATTTTACGAGGGAATACGTTGCTTAATAAGAAGTCACAGTAATATGTATGGACCGACAGGCGCATCTTTCTGTAGCTCGTTGTGTCTGCACGCGCATATTTCTCGTTGGCTCGCGCTCTGTTCTGCTGTCACGCGCGTGTGAATGTTCTGTTTGTCTACATGTTGCGAGGGCGCATCTAACTGCTTGGCAGCGCTCGGGCTCTCAGCTTCAAACCGTGCGAACCGTCGCTCTTCCCCAACCCCCGTTGCACTGCTCAGCCCAGCCAGCGAGGGCGGGGCCAGCCCAAATAAATGTGGGGAGGGGAAAAAACGAAGACAACAAACCTTAAAAATGTAGGCCACGGCGCGTGACCCAGTTCCTAGTGAACAACACAGCGAGTGTGAATGTGGAGCACGGTTATTATCCCCCACGCCCGGCACGGTTCCAGGGCGGGTTCTACTGTGTGTTTTTCTCTCTGTGCCAAGCAATGTTCGGGGGCTTTTATACATATGAAAGAGAAGAAAGAAATGTGAAATGTATCAAATTGCTGTTTTAAAAGGTAACTACTTGTCGAAAGTTTTAAAAGTATTTTTTACACGTCTCTAGGCCTACATGTTTTTATTTTCTCTGTTTTTCTGTTTGACCCAAATGAAACAAATAAACAAAATAAGAAATGAGTAAAAAATCTATCTATCTATCTATCTATCTATCTATCTATCTATCTATCTATCTATCTATCTATCTATCTATCTATCTATCTGAAACCTATAATCAGCTCTTCAATCTCTATATTGACCACAGCCCTCAATAAACAGAAAATATTTACAACTGAAGACAGCATGAGCTGTTTCACTCAGCAGGCTCATGTCTTGACTGGGAGTTTAATCTTTTACTCTAATTTTTTAGATCAGTTATGTGTTGTTGTTTTTTTTTTTTTTTTTTTTTACAATAGATAACGCTTGGGGTGTGGTTGTGAGAGATCAGATAAATTCATTTTTCATTAAAATATGGCCTGTGGGCTGACCAAGTGGTAAACTACATCTCTTCACCTGTTGATTACACATGGGGACTGGGGAGTGAGCCAGTATCAATTTCAATAGATGTGTGTTGTGATTTGAAGTCAGGCTGGGCTGGGCTGCTTCTATAGGCTTTTGTGTGGTTTTGACCATAGTGAATATAGGAAGAGTAGATTGTAATAATGTGTGTGTGTGACAGATATTTTGTTTTGGGCCCCCTGGAGAAGGCGATCAGTCTGAAGCTGACCTACTTTTCTCCTTTACTCCATACCTGCAGAGCTATTTATATACATGGCACAGGGCTACAGGAGCAACTCAGACCATCTCTCCCCTCACAAATACACACATAGGCACTTTATGCTCACACACATATTATGTGTACACATCTCCTGCCATCTCACTGTTTTTTTCTTTTGTTTTTTTTTTATTATAATTTCCCCAGCCTGGCCTGTGGAGAGCCACCCACACACACGGCGTGAAATCCACACCCCCTCAGGAGTGCAGTGAGGGTGAGCTGTATTCTTTTAAAGGGTCTGGTCCCAGTAATATGCATGTGGAAGCCTGTTTCACATATCAAAGCATGTATGGCTAATGAATGCTTTTCTGTTTAATCTATTTAATAAGGATCAACCCACATCTGTAATTATTTTTTTTGTCCCAGAATGTTTGGCGACTCATTTACTTTTGTTTTACATTTTGGGTATCTTATCACAAAAGAAAAAGTCAAGTTGATTCTTGCTAGTTGCTAAGTGAACAAAAGTTGCTTCAACTGAGTATTTCCTTTTGCTTTAAGGTACTTGTGTTACAATGGAAATAATATGGGGTGAATCCGTAAAAGGTTAAAATACTCAGTTTCAGTAGAATAGCCACAAAACATAGCTAAATAAAATGCATGTTAACATGATTTGGTGAAAAAAAAAATACTTTTTTGCAAAGTTAAATCCAGCGGTCAACCCTAAAAGGACTGAGAACAATTTTACAGTTCAAATAATAAGCAAGTTTTAATACGTGTTTCTTATTCTAAGCCAAAGTTACGTTTATTGTAAAGGCTTCATTTTAAAATTAATTTTTTAAATATTTGTTTGTGGTAATCAACTTTATAAGGTGTGGTGACATTTTCCATTGCTCTGTGGAATTTCACAGGTGAAATCCAGTTGTGTCAATAGTAATCTATTCGATCAGGAGTTTCACCTGAAAACAAAAAAAGTTCCTTATGCTAATTCAAAGGGTTGACAACTGAAACCTTGGTTTAAAAGTGACGTATGCAATGCATCACTACAATTAAAAAACAACCTTTTTTGAAACCTTTTAACCCTGAAATTCCGCTATATTGCCCGCACATTTATGCCATGAATGCTGTTGACTCAGCTTAACTTATTGAGCGCAGAATAATCCTTTAACAAGGAATTTTTTACACTTTTATTTAATAAGACCTTCATAATAATTTATATTTCTTTATGGTTACAGGAGACAAAAGCACCATTGTGCAGATAGAGGGATGGAGGACAGGAGGCTCCTGCCTCTAGATGGAGGTGGCAATCCCAAGTGCTCCGCCTTAGCAGATAAAGAAGATAAAGTGGTCAGGATGGAGAAGGGTGACCCAGAGACCTCAACACAAACGCGTGTGAGAAAAGACGATCTCTGTGATGTTCCTCGCAAGGTGCCTCGTTTCCAGTACGTGGATTTCCCTTCCCTGCACCAGTGCATCCAACAGCTTTCTGTGCCTCCACTGAATGGTTGGCTGGGATCCTGCTCGTTGACAAAGGCGGCAAACTGTAGGCCCTCCAGTCCTAAAGAAAAGGTGCCCAAGTTTAAATACGTGGACTACCCATCTCTCCACCACTGCATTCAGCAGCTGTCTGTGCCTCCATTAGAAAGCTGGAGCGCAGGGCTGGTCCGCTTTAATGCAGAGGGGAGACAGGAAGTGTCTGGATTGCAGAAGAGGCCCTTTCAACCTGGGAATGTGAGGAAGAACCAGAGGAATGAGGCAGGAGTTCGAGACTGTGAGAGTAGAGCTACAGGATTTTCTTTCCCGATAGACACACACACCTCAGTCTCAGGCAAGGAGGAGAGGCCTCAACACAACTACAGCTCAGAGGCTCCACAGAAGTTAGAGGAAGGTAACGTAAGGTCCTGTGCTATGAAACCAGAATCTGGTTTGCGATTAGATTGCGGTTCCAGGTTAGAATTTGGGTCTGGATCTCAGAGTAACACAGCGGTGGTGAGAAGCGACAGGCCGTCGGTTATTAGCATGGTATACACAGATAAGCAGAAGCACTGGACAAAGGCTGAGCCCCTGGAAGAACAATTGAACTCTCCAGATTCAGTTGGACGTGTACCGTGGAATACCCTCCCAGAGTCAGTCTGCCCATTCTGCCAACAGATGTTCACAAACCCAGAGCAGTTCAGGGCTCACCAGAGGAGCCATAAAGATAAGGTGACTAATGCTAATCACATACACAACTACAGTAGGCAACATTTGAAGTGGATCAAAAAAGTTGTGCCAAGACAAATTCATGTATAACTTTGGTGAAACTTTGGTTTTTGATCCACTTCAAATGTATATTCTCCGTTTATCACTTAAAGGGATAGACCACCCAAAAATGACCAAATAGGAAAATTTGTCCATGTAATAAAAGAAAACGGGGGTCCAATTTGGTTTTGTATCCAACTAATTTTTATTTTAGGGGCATACAACTTTCTTCAGAATTGTTTTGTTTCACACAAATTCACAGAAATAAATTTAAGGCTCAATCCCAATTCACCCCTTGGCCCTATCCCTTGTTTTCGAGTGTACCCCTTGGCCCTTAAAATGGAGTTACAAGGGCCAAGGGGTTGAAATATTCCCTACGAAATGGAACAACGCTTCATGAACCCGATACGTCATCAGTCGTCGGCGATGGCTCTGCTGTTACAGAGTTTTTACAGGATTTCTCCATGACAACAACTGACAATCAGCGCAGCTGCTCTTAACTTTGAAGAAACATGATGATTATAACATCCCTTCCTCGAAATGTATGTCTTTTCTGATCGGAAAGGTAATTTATAATACCATTTCTTCATTTAAACGACTATAGTGTTATTATAAGAGTAAAAAAAGTGCACGGAGGAATCATCTGGCACTAAATTTAAATGTCTAATCGTTTGCAAGCCCATCTCGCTGGTTATTTGCGATGCATTCCGTGAACTTTCTCTTAGCCCTCCGTTTGAAGTGTGCCTCTGAAAAATCTCTGTTTTGAGGGCTATTTAGCCCTACCCCTTCACCCTACCCCTCGATCTCAACAAGAATCGGGACAAGCAAAATGGAGGGGTAGGGGCAAGGGGTAAATTGGGATTGAGCCTAAGTCATACTGGTTTGCAATAACATACGGGTAAATTGTGCCATAATTTTCATCTTTGCATAAACTTTTCCCGTCCTTAATTTCCATTAGTTTATTACCACATCCTGCGTTCGGCTTTAGCAACGTCTGCATTTAGGCTCCATTATTTCCAAGTAATCACAGTGTAATTCTTATCTTCACAGAGACCAAATTGATGTGCAGAAGAACTGAGTGAGAGCTGCCTTTGCAAACAGTTAATGCCACATACCATGGAATCTTATCATCAGAGGCCTTCTTGTGTTGTGACTGGCTATAGTGGTGCTTTCTGGCAGGACTATAGGGAGATCAAAGACATGATAAACACATTAGACAGTTTGGGTTCAGACCTATTTATGATTTAGAAGGGTCAATATTTGGACCATCAGATATGATGGGGTTTCAGCTCGAGACAGGGGAGCTTAGAACCAGAACCATATAATATGAGTGTTTCTACAGGGGTGGGTGAAGCTCGATGAACTGGTGCATAAGAGGATACATTTTATTACATATGAGTTCACCACACTGTGCATGGTGGCAGGCTAAAAATTAGCTTTTGGTGCCTACAAAATAATGGCTATTGTTAATAATGTTAATAATGCACAAACAAACAGGCTTGTTATTGATTTGTTACATTATAGCTTTTTATTGTTTTGTATGTTTTTTTTAATGTTTTTTGGAAATCAATGTCAAGTGGCTTTGAGCTATAGCTTTAAATATTAAAAAATGTGTAAAAAAAAATTTCAAGTGTTTAGTTGCGTGGTTTTTTTATACAGAAACAAATGTTTGACTTTTCAGTACAGGTATGCCCTGTACAAAGAAACCCTGTTTGGCAGGTTACCTCTCGGTTGTATATAAACCAAAGAGCTAAAAAAACATAGTGTCAAAACATTTTCATTTTAAACCTTAAGTCTAAATGGTTTTTAAAATGGTATAAAAAGTGTTTGACTTTGTTTACAAACTTTAAGGAACATAATGTTTTTACATTATAGTGAAGATCTGACCAGCTAAAAACATCTGTTCGTTGTTAACTATACATTCATAATTCACAGTCAAATAATTTACATTTTATCTTATTTAAAGGGGTCATGAAATGAGAAATACAACTTTCCTTGAGGTTTTGACATCATATAGAGGTCATCATATATCATATCATATCCTGAAAGTTTCAGAACTAAAAACTTTGAAAACATGCCACAACATGTAAGTAACAGTTCTAATGTGATTCATGTAGCTACAGTCAAATCCCGGCAAACACATTTACATTGTGGCACGTTGCATTTCTACTATGGCAATATAGCTGTCTACTTTCTCGCCACATTGTAACAAGAGAGAGAGATTCCCAGCCTTCCTTTTCTCCAGACACTTCCTCCAGCTCTTCCGGGGGGACACTGAGGTGTTCCCAGGCCAGCCGGGAGACATAGTCCCTCCAGCCGTGAAGCTACTTCCCGAGAAGGCGTCCAGGAGGCATCCGGAACAGATGCCCGAGGCACATCAGCTGGCCCCTCTCAATGTGGAGGAGCAGCGGCTCTACTCTGAGCTCCTCCCGAGTGACTGAGCTCCTCACCCTATAAGGGATCACCCAGCCACCCTGTGGAAAAAGCTAATTTCGGCCGCCTGTATCCAGGATCTTGTCCTTTCGGTCATGACCCAGCTCATGACCATAGGTGAGAGTAAGAACGTAGATTGACTGGTAAATTAAGAGCTTTGCCTTGCTTTGCCTTCACTTGAGGCAGGAACTCTCCACCAACCTGAAGTGGGCAAGCCACTGTGGTGAGCAGGATGAGGTCGAGGGACATGAGAGAACGACGCGAGGCAGGTGGCATGATTGATAATGAGCGACACCTGCACAACGCACTGTTCTCGTATCTCTCACGGAGGAGTGGACGCATAAAGGAGGAGCCATAACAGTGCACAGCGAGAGAGGAAGAGGCCTGATTTTATGTTATGTTGTTTTGCACAGTCAAATGCCTTCTCCAAATCCACAAAGCACATGTGGATTGGTTGGGCAAACTCCCATGAATCCTCAAGCATCCTGGAGAGGGTATAGAGCTGGTCCAGTGTTCCACTACCAGGACAAAAACCGCACTGTTCCTCCTGAATCTGAGGTTCTACTATCGGCCGAATTCTGCTCTCCAGTAACCTGGCATAGACTTTCCCGGGGAGGCTGAGTCTCACAAGCCAGCCAGGCCTGATAGGACTCCTTCAGCTTGATGGTGTCCCTTACTTCCGGTGTCCACCACCAAGTTCGGGGTTTGCTCTCTCGACAGACACGGGAGACCTTACGGCGACATCTTCATCGTTAATGGAGGTGGAGAACATGGTCTCAATGGTTGCAATGACGAGATTGCTGCGCATGTCTGCGATCGGCTACAATGCTCATCATTGCAACCTTTCAAGTCACAATCTTAATATAATGCCATAGATCTAATTGTAATGCTATAATTATCTTTTTTTAAATTTTCCATTATTTTTTTTAAGTAGGTAACATTGAGAGCAGTAATAATAAAAACATGCTAAAAGTTTTCAACAGAGTTCCACATGTAATACTAGCTATTTCATATGCAAAGATGTCAGCCATTCACAGCAGTGGGCGTTTACACTGAAGTTGCTCAGCAGACACGCCACTTCAAACAGACTGTTCAAATCAGAGGCTAAAATCAGGCTAGCAAAATGCCTTTTATTTCTAAATTATGACAATTTTTGAAGTAAAAAATACTAACATCATAATTGTACCCCAGAAAACATTATGAGAAAACAACGCAGTTCATGACCCCTTTAAATGTGGTCAGCATGTTAAAAAGAAACTTACAATAATTGACTTTCATGAATCTCACAAACAGTTCAAATATATATTTACATATTATGGAACATTATGGAATTTATTATGGACCCTCTTTTAATTTACAAATAGACAAAAGATTTCAAAGCACTAAAGACATGATTATCACGTCATAACCCTTAGTAAGTAACCACCGGACTTTCCGGAACTCATGGGTTGTTCCTGTAAACAAATCATTCATTTCTACACAGAACAACAGATCGACAACACAGCATTGATATTTACAGTGAGAATTTTTTATTTTTAAATCTCACTCAAACAGATCAGATGAAACAAAGAACCAGAAAATACTGTGTGAAAAATGCACATATAAACACAAATAAGGAAGAGCTGAGAAGTGCGAGACAAACAGTTATACGGTGGGTTGCAAGAAGAAAGACAACAATGGGAGCTGGTAATTGTTTTGTTTATTACTTTACCATTTAAAATGTATAACTGATTATAAACAAGTTTGTTTATAAATATATTTACAACCATCAAAAAAGACTTTTACTTTCACTTGTCCTGAGAAAAGAATGACGCAACATGCCAAACCGGAGCTTGTTAATCGTATAATTGTTCTGTAGGGAATTCACAGGTGTGCAATCAGACTGATGATCTTAGCCAGGAGGGAATCATTTTAAAGGTAAGAACACTTTTTTTTTGTTAAAGACCTTTTGCTGTGATATTGCAGTCAGATATAAAGCAGTTTAAAAATGGCCGATCAAAAAGACTGTAAAGCCTCATGCACACTAACAACACTATGCTGGCAGTGCGGCTGTTTAAGGCATTGGATTACACTGATCAAATTAGTCATTTTATCTTCTGTAGTCTGCAAAGGTGCTTTCTCCTCCCTCTCAAACACTAATGGATAACCAATCCGTCAACACTTCTGCATCTCAAAAATGCCCAGACCCAAATGGAAAAAACCCAGATCCCACAAACACAGTGAGCACTGCATATTAACTTTATTTAATTGTCCAAGCCCATCAGCCTCAAGAAGCTGCAAAATGTTTATTAATAAGCACCCATATCTTCCATTTTTCCAGTTGCCAGTTTCTTTCTCTGCACTGAAACCTGCATGTATAAAAGGGTGTACTACAAGTGAACTGTGTCACTGGACTCAATGCCTGACCACTCAGCTCCTGTGTAGCTCCTGCCTCTACCCCTGCACTTCTGATGCCTGCACCAACAAGCTGTGCCCCCTCGTCTCCACACTGCTAAACTGTGAAGTGGTATCCGATCCAAAGAGTAAAGTGCTTGGTTGTCCAATGTTCAGAGCCTGTCCCAAGTGTCACAATCTGATTATGCATGAAAAAGGATGCAAGTTTGTGAAATGCACATCATGCAAACACACGTTCTGTTTCATCTGCTTACAAGATGATTGTAGCAAGGATCCAGCACACTACTGGTCACTAACTTGCACAAAGCAGAGAGCAGAAAGACAGAGATTTTTTACACCACAATCCTGAACAGAGATTCATCGCAGGGTTGGAAACTACTTTCTAAAAAGCAAATCCAAGATTTGGCAGTTGCTATACAGAAGTGAACAATAAATTCATTCATGTCACAAACTGATTCAGACTACAAAATAAATATAATATAGCATGTACTATTATCCCAGTGCTTTGAACTATGTTTTGCCTTACTTCTGGCCTGGACTTTGGTTAGCAGGGATATCAACTCAAGTATGGAAATAATTACTTATTAAATGGCATATCCTAATCCTATTTAACACAACTTCAATAAAGTAGCACTGGTTAAAACGAGGAGACTTGTATCTGTAAAATATTGTTGTTAGTGAAACTGACAGAACATTATTTCTTACTAGGACTCTGAGCCACTCTACTTCTTTTATACCTAAAAGGCAATATTACCAGTTGAAATGCAGCTCATGGTACAATATAAAAAAATACATAAAATATTTATCAGAGGAAGTCTGAGCATTGGAACATATAAAGTTTATTGATTATTTGTCATCACTTCATCACCTACTTTCTGCAATTTCACTCCTCTGTTAACCTCAAGAATTTTAGTTAATACAGTTTTGGGGACCAGACAAAATATAGATTTGTTACCTGATTTTGGGTATCAGATAAGATTATTTGTTAACTGGTTTTGGGTATCAGGGAAAAAAAAAACTGCTGACAGTTTTGGATACCAAACAAAATGGATGTCTTTGACAGAATCTGTTAAAAGACTGTGTCCAATATTTCTGGAGTGAAGATTCAATCTAACTGTTCATATTAAAGACTTGCACAACAGAGTACTGCCCAGGGACAATTCACCTAAAAATAAAAATTCTGTGATTATTTACTCACTCTCATGTCATTTAAACAAATTAAATCTGTTCATCATATAAAGAGATCATATCTCTTCACAAGAATTGAATTAAACGGCTTGATTCATATGGATTCAATTTGACACCTTTATAACCTTTTTGAATCTTCTAAGCTTTTCACCGATAGGATTATTATTATTTATTTTTTTTTGTCTGATACAAATTGAAAAACAACTATTGGCTGATTCTGATATTTATTACTTGCTTATTTGAACTTTTGTCATTAAAATTAGTGTTTTGATAATTTTAATTTAGCAGTTTAAAAATACATTCAACATGCAAACATAAATACAACAGAACAAAGATGCATATAAAATAAACAGTGCATTTCTAGTAGGTCTAACAGTAGTTTTAGGTACAGAAAAAATGTAATCAAATGTAAAATATATTCTTCATTGTTTAAATTAAATAGATCTTAATACTTATTAAAGTCGCAAACGTTATTTAGGCAAGAGTAGTGAGTGATTTGTTTGTCTTTTGTTGTTTGATTAACAATAAAACAAGCAGCAGGAACATTATACTAGTACACTGTCATTTTAATTCTCAAATGTTGATTTAAGATATGTTTACGACCATGTTTACAAGGATACTCGCCAAGATGGCCATTTTGATTTAATTTTGTGTGAATTAGAAGTGAAAAAACTAAATTCAGTATTTGCACATGGTCTAAAACTTTGGATGTGTGTGCACACAAAACTGTGAGTAGAATTGAGTTCTCTTTCGCATCTTCTTAAATGAATGTTTAAAGGGGGGTTGATTGCGATTTCACTTTTTTCATTTTAAATAGTGTGTAATGTTGCTGTTGGTGCATGAACAGTATCTGGAAAGTTGCAGCGCTGAAAGTTCGATCTAAACAGAAATATCCTCTTTTAAAAATCGGGAAGTTTAATGCCTAAAAAAACGACTCGATTGGGACTACAGCCGGGTTTTATACGCCACTAACCCATACATTTGCATCAACCCTCCCTCCAGAATATGCAAAAAAGGGCATGGCCATATTTCTGCGGCACGTCGAGTGTGTTGTGTTCACCCAGCTGTCAGATCTTCTGTGTTCGGGGGTTCCCTTATGTTTGATTATGTTCCTGAAAATGACGATCGTAATTTAGCTCTCTGTGCCGCGAATTTTCCGGACAACGTGCACTACAGTTTAGCTTTAGCCAATCACAATATACCGGCCCAAACTAACCAATCTGAGCCCACTGCCTGTTTCTGAGGGAGTGGTTTCATATAGAATCAGAAAGTCAACCGCTTGTTCAAATGACAGCGTAGAAAGCAGCTGACGGTTAAGTTTATGAAAAAAAAGGCTTTTTAAAAAGAAAAACCACGAATACATGTTATATTGCACCCCAAACACAATCATGCAAAGAAAGAAGCAGTAAACCACCCATTTAAATTCGTAAGGCTTATAACCATGTGCAAAGGACAAACTTTCATGAAAATGCAGCACTGGCCTGATCGGGACAGTGACCGTTCTATCAACTCAACTGTCCCAAACGTTGTTCACGCTTGCCACGGACAGTCCTTATTGTTGAGTCCTGCTGCATTTTGTACAGATTTAATTTTGTTTTAGGAAGTATTTAATTATTTTGACCAGAGAAAAATGCTGGGTTATGCAACAGACATTAAACAACTCAGTGCATTCACACAGTTAACTAAAAAACCATTGGTTTGTTACATCAGCCTTATTCATGCTATAGCCAATAGTTTTAAATTTATAAAAATTTCGGCCGATATATCAGTGCATCTCTAGATCTGAAAATTAACCAAAGTCACCCCAACAAGTGTGAGTAAATGGTGACAGAATTTTAATTTTTAGGAGAACTATCCCTTTAATAACTTTGGACCCTCTATTGGATTCGTTCTCCAACACAAGACATAGAAAACTGTTGTCATGAACACTGATGAACCTTCAATCCGCCATCATTTCTAAACTTTTTTCCACACTGACCACAAACATAGGGTTTCTCTCCCGTATGAAGGCGGAAGTGGCGCTTGAGTGTCAATGCGTGACGGAAGCGTGCGCTGCATATAGAGCAAGTGTATGGCCTCTCTCCTGTATGGATCCTTTGATGAATCTTGAGATGGTGCTTACGGTTGAAGTCTCGCCCACATAGGCTACAATGATACGGGCTCCGGCCGGGGGGAAACGCATGGCACACAAGACTCTTATAATGGTTGTTGTGGAGCTTTGGGAAGTGGGTTTGTTGACCTGAGCTTGAGGACGACAGGAAATCTAGGTCTAGAGGCAGAGAAAAGGGAAAACCACATGTAAAAAATTTTGCAATATGGCATGTTACTGTGCTTAAATGGATCTGTCAGTTTATAATTGTATTCGGTGCAAATTAATATCACCCAATTAGCATGGCATATTATTTATATACATACAGTACAAAAGTACTACTAACCTAGGTGTTGGTTGGTGGACTGAAAGTGCATGTTTGATTGGCAGCTCTCTGTGTGCAATGGCTCAGGTCTCCAGTCTTCCAATAGTCGGGACTGAGCCAGAGAAAGGCTGTCTGAGTTGGGCTCCTCCACCACAGAGAGGGACACTGGGTTTGGTTCATCATAACTCTCATCTTTCTCCACTTTTACATCCACTTCAAGGGATGACCTCTCACTTGTAACTGTCCCACTACATGTCCGGTCAGTTTTGGTCATATTGTGTTGATCATTCTTGATGTCTGAAAAGGGAGTAACCCTCCTTAAGTTTCATCAAACCAGTCCAAACCATGCACAGTAGCAATAGATTGTAACTTTACATTGCAAAAAAAGGAAAGACTAATGAAGTCAAAATCGGCCAATAGTTTTAAAGGTGTGTTGGGCTATCATTAAGAGTCCAACATGACAGTCAGTGATTTTAACTGATGAAAAACTTTAACATGCGCATTAGTTTTTAAACATCAAATAGCTAAACTTACCATTTGTGTCATCTAATCTATAGTGAGTTGATTCCTGAAGTGTATCCGAGTTTAAAGTCTGAGCGCACGCACCTCCGTTTTGGTTCCCACAGATTGATCCTCGCTGGAATATATTAGATCCACATACCTCATAATCATCTTCAGAGTTCACAATGGGCTCGGTTTGTTGTCCTACGCTAAGGGTATTTAACTGCCGACCCCCACGATGAATCTTGCCGCAGCTGATTGGAGGGTTTGTCACCAACTGTTTGGTACTACCGATGGGAAAATCCTCGCGTCTCTGTGGCTGTTGATCTAGGCGACCACACACCGTAGAAAGTTGCGTTTCAGCTGTTTGCAGCCTAAACTTGAGCGCACTATTGTCCCGAAGAGCCTCTTGAATCTTGCCCTGCACATCTCTCAGCGCTCTGTCAAGCAGTCTGGTGATCTCCGCAACGGCGATCTCTACCGCAACACCGAGCGCGTTTTGAAGGGTCGCAGTCAGTTCATCTTGAAACGAGAACGATACCTCAGCGATCACTGCGGGGTTTGCAGGACCACCGTTTACCTCCATTCCCTTTCTCGTTTAAAATAACTTTTCGGCAATATTGCAATATCTTAAGGGTAGACGAAAAGCACCGCTCTACGTATAACCCTTTAGAGGCGAACGTCAATTAGCTGGCCAACCAAATTATTCCCTTCGTTGGGTGAATATCATGGGGTGAATATAAAACAACTGGCCATTTGTACTTAGTTTTAAACGAGCTAATTTTAAGTCTTAAAAAAACAAACCAACAAAATACATAAAAAAACACATAATTCACTGTCGTCGACCCTGGTAAAATGTCAAATATTGAAGAATTGAACAAAACTCCGGAATAAGACACAGTTGTCCTCGTGGTTTTTTAAATGTTTTCTTTTTTCTTGTGCTCGAATTTACCCTTACATTTTAAGACACGGATCATAGCAATATACTAAAAAAAAAACAGGGTAATACTCAAAATAGCAAATATTTTGACATGATCCTATTTGACGACTGTATACCTTTTCACAAAGTCATGTGAAGGGTGGAGCGAATGTGTGAAACTGACATACAAAATTAACATGTTCACAAGGTCAGAAATCCGGGGATTAAATATATTTAAAAAGAATGTTATTAATTTTCACTAATAGCTATATAGGTTGACCGCATTTTTATAGCCTATAAGAACACGAAAAATGCATTTAGGTGATTATTGAAAGCTAGTTTTTAAATACAAAGTTGTTTGTATTTATAGTTTATGGACATTAAATCATTATAATCATAATCAATAACCGATGGACCGGAGTCCACTAATAAAATTAAGTATGCAGAGAAACTTATCCTAAAAGAACGAAGTTCCTTGGTGTTCCACGAAAGATATCAGGGAAAAACGAAAGATATCAGGGAAAAACGAAAGATATCAGGGAAAAACTACTATTACAATTTACAAGCCCATTTATGGTAATCCGGAAGCTGAGCGCGCCATTCTTGAATTTGGAACATTTTCGTGGGTTTGGAGATTTATCGCATCTGTCAAGTCAACAACGGCGTAAACCACAGAGCGTCCTAAAAGTAATACAGGACAGAGGAAAGATAAAGAGACCAGAAAGCATCAGGACCAACAAAGTAACAATATGAGAATGGACTCTAAAGATTTTTTCGCAGAAGGTGAGCGCTTGAGTGGCTTGATAAGCGCATGCCGAATGCTTTGTGATTAAAGATGGGGTGGTAGTAGATTTTAGATGACAGTTACCATTCTTTAACAGCACTTTGTAAAATGAAAAAAAAAATAAAAAAAATGTAGGCCTATTCAAATAATGTAGCGATTGAACGTTTTCTTCTGTGGATTTTTCGCACTATTATCTCATGTTTTGTTTCCGGCACATGAGGAAATTATTTGACATTAGCCTACATATATTCATTTGGTTTACTTTCACGTTAACGTGTTGGTTAAAAAAAAATCTTGAGATCTCATTTTATTACCGTTTAAGAAGTCCCTGAAATATATCCTACTAAATTGATTATCGTTTTTGGCTGAAATATAAACTGTTTCATATTCCTGTTGTAAATATAACATTTATATGCAATTCAGCAAACTGCAGAAAGAAATTTTGCATTAGCATGAATATCTTGTCTTGATACGGGTGAAAACTGTCAAATGAGATTCGCCTTATTGCAGTGACACAAAAACATTGCAAAAGGCAGCCAACAGGTGTCGCAAACGCCTCACCATGAATGATGCACTAGCGCAAGAGACTTGCCAATGACAGTGGAGAGGGGGATTCCGCATTTAATAATTAAAAAATGCAATACTACGTGAAAATTGGAATCATGTGTATATTTTCCTTTTAAATATTAAAAAATAATTCCGACATGCATTCCCTCTAAATTCTCATATCCAGACTGGCAGTTAAAAGACACCCTTAATTAATAGAAAATCTGGCACAAGAAATATGTTCATTAAACCTTGAGGATGTTTGTATCTTTTAACGAATCCATAGCAGACTGAATGCTGAAATCAGTGCAGTCTCAGTTCTGATCTGTGTACACCGTGTAGCCTACATGTACTGGCATACGGGTTTACCAGTCTCATAGACGTGCAAGCAGAGGGTGGCATCCGAGGTAGGGCTGTACAGTAAACAATTTTGGTACGCTTGCAATGATGATACATAGCATAACCGCATGCTAGTGCAGACGTCGCATGCCGCATGTGCACGCCTGTCAGTGGAGCCTGGGTGCACACAACCATACGTGCTGGACCAGGAGGAAAACAATCTCAAGCGCGTATTTGGGCTCTCCTCGAGGGCTCATGATTGCGTGATGAGAGAAAAGAGGACTGCTGCTATCATGAACGAATGTAAAACATACCACAGATTTTAGGCAGGCATTGGTGGATAAAAACACCCCAAGCAACTCGCCCAGCAATGGAGAACCAGGTGGCGATGGAGCAGCAGAGCTACGAGGACGTGCGGAAAAGCGGTTATCTCCGCAAGCAGAAATCTATGCACCGGCGCTTTTTCGTTCTCCGGGCTGCGTCGGAGCAGGGCCCGGCCAGACTAGAATATTATGAAAACGAAAAGAAATTCCGAAGCAAATCACCAGTCCCAAAGAAGGCAGTGAACCTAGACTCTTGCTTCAACATCAACAAACGGGCAGATTCTAAGAATAAGCACATGATAGTGCTGTATACCCGCGGGGAGAGCTTTGCCATCGCCGCGGACACTGAGGAGGTCCAAAACGAATGGTACCAGGCCATGCTGGATCTACAGTGTAAATGTGAGTAAGAATGTTGGCATTGTGTTGTACCCTTGAGTCGAATTCGTGAATGACCTGTCTTTCGCATATGCTGCTGCAGCATCATGCCTTGGCGGTTGTAGTTTCTTAAACTGCCCATCAACTTGCGTGTTGATGATGGGAGCCCCCTTGGCTTCAGAGGATCTATATTTGCAAAGCCGTTTGGATTCAAAATGCACGTTCTACCCCACCCGTCTGTTTATTGTAGGCTACCCACCACACCTGGAAATGTGGACGCTAAAGCGGTATTAAAATGGCTAGATTGAATATGGTGCATATAGAACCACACAATGCATGCATGAATAAACAAATTAATAATTTGATTTTGATTTAAATTTTTAGAGAAAATCAAGATGTTGCTACTCGAATGCTCTTATTACTAGACACAACTACCGTAGCCTACTATAGCGCGTAGTGCGAGAGTGGTGCAGCGCTGCTGCAGCGCTCAGGAGTCAGGACTGTTTTTGTTTTTCTACACATTTGTGCATGTTGTACGTGTAACCTACATTTCTGTCATAGCGATTCTGCCGGGGAGGGGAGCCGCGGCAGCCGTGCATGCGTGATTATTGGCATACGGGTCTCCTCTTGCCCTATCCCTCGTGTTTTGGTAGAATATGAACCCGCCACTAAATGAACCGATCACCGAGTTGAACAGCAGGCCAGGCCATCCGTGTGATGATATGGAGACATTCGTTGCCGAGCAAGCGATTCTATAAGCCTTCCTCGGTTTAATTTGCATCCGTAAAGGCTATAATGGCTTCACTTGACTGTAGTGTTTGTATCCAGCAACTGCACGGAGATTTCTCTATTTTTTTTTATTTTTATTTTTACAAGATCGCCTCGAAATCGGCAACATATATTGGTCAGATAAAGTTTTATACACTAATTAAGCCAAATCAGTTTTATACACTAATATGTATTATATTATGCAACCGTTTATATTATATATCATATTATATATTATATAAAAATTTGTGGTTTGATGGGCGCAGTGCTTTCTCGTTCTTAACCATTTTCTTAACTAAAAGCTAAATTTTTCATCTACTCCACAACTTAAATCTTATTAAATAATTTAGAGAAATAAAAAAAGTTTACCCCCCCCCACACACACACACACACACACACACACACACACAGAATTAGTAGAAATGAAACTAAATAATTTGTGAATTACATAAAATATTGTTTTAAGTAGATAACTTTGGGTTAGAGGAGCACTATAATGAAAATATAGTGAAGTATAGTATTTTTCACAACTTTAATTTTAAGCAGAATTTTTTTTCCACTAATACAGTTCTACTCCAAACTTTGATGTTGTGACTAACAAGTGACTTTTTTATTTATATTAGTTTGGCTTGATAACAAAAAACTTCCTTTGTCTTCCTTTATGGGGATTTACAATTTATTTAAATATATGCATGTTTATTACATTTTTATTTTGTGTTTCTATCTTTTTATTTTGTATCTGTAGGTAAGACTCCTGATGAGTGTGGCAGTGGAGGAGACTGTGAATTGCCTTCCCCTGGTCCTGCCTTTAAGGAGGTCTGGCAAGTTAAAGTCTGGCCAAAAGGTTTGGGCCAGGCCAGGAATCTAGTTGGAATCTACAGACTTTGCTTAACAGACAAAACAGTCAACTTTGTCAAACTCAACTCTGATGTTGCAGCTGTGGTCCTCCAGCTGATGAATGTTCGACGCTGTGGCCACTCAGAGAACTTCTTTTTCATTGAAGTGGGTCGTTCTGCCATGACAGGCCCTGGAGAATTCTGGATGCAAGTAGAGGATTCAGTGGTGGCACAGAACATGCATGAGACCCTTCTTGAGGCCATGAAGGCTCTGAGTGAAGAGTTTCGTCAAAGAAGCAAATCCCAAACTGTTGGTGTGAGCTGTGGAGGAGGAACTGCCTCTAATCCTATTAGTGTACCTTCTAGACGACACCACCCAAATCTACCACCTTCCCAGGTTGGTTTTTCCAGACGTGCTAGAACGGAAACTCCTGGAGTCTCGAACACCAACACGTCTCCAACTCCACGGCACGGATTCTCTAGGTCACGGACAGCCAGCATTGGGGCCCGTACAGAGGATGGAGGGGGCAGAGCAACAGCGCTCAGCACAAGTCCGAGCCTCAACGGTTCATCCTGTTCTACTACCCCGACCCTGAGGCCTAAACCCACACGAGCACCCACCCCAGCGAAGATCACCCTCAGCCTAGCACGATACACCCCAAACCCTGCACCTTCCCCAGCTCCCAGCCTCTCATCCAGTTCTGGTCATGGGTCAGAATGTGGTTTAGGTGGAGCTGCCTTTGGAACAGTGCCCATTTGCACTTATGCTCGAATTCCTCAGAGAGTGTCCATGTCAGGATCACCCAGTGATTATGGTTCCTCAGATGAGTATGGCTCCAGCCCCGCAGAGCACTCCCTGCTTGCCTCAGGGCTCCCTGGTGCCCTTGTTGAAGGTAGAGCTAGTTATATCCTGATGGGTCACAGAGAAGGGTCTCACAAACGTGTTCATGGACGCAGGGTTCTTCGTCGTTCATCTAGTCGCGAGTGTGAGGGTGACCGCCGGCTGCTCAGCAAGCGTGCTTCCTTACCCCCCACCTCTACCCAGGAGCGTTTGGTCCCACACCGCAGGGAGGAGGAAGAAGAGGATGAAGAAGACTATGCAGTGATGTCACGCAGTGCAAGTAGAGAGTCTTTCATTTCACGCCGAGGCTCAGGGGGTTCAGCTACAACATCATTGGTGCAGGAAAATTCAGCAGACAAAGGTGTCAGTACTAAAGGGGGGCCTGAAGACTCCTCAATTGAGAGTGGCTACATGTCCATGTTGCCAGGTGTTACAGCTCCTCCTGCTTCATTGTCACTATCAGTTTCTGGTTCAGATGTAGTGCCAAAGGGTGGAGATGAATACATGGCTATGACTCCCAATAGTAGTGTCACACCCCCTCAGCAAATCCGCCTACCCATTAATGAGGGCTACATGATGATGTCTCCAAACAGTAGCTGTTCACCAGACTTGCATGGCCTCAGTGGATGCATTTGGGGCAGCAGGGGCAGCATGGAGAGTCGGGCGGGCAGCGACTACATGAACATGTCACCTATTAGTGCCAGGTCAGCTTGCAGTACTCCTCCATCACACCCAGAGCAGCAACCACAGCAGCCAAAGATGGTCTATTCTTATTTTTCGCTGCCACGTTCATATAAACACACTGCCCTCTCAACCCGTTTTGAAAATGATCTGGATAGGGTTTGTGTGGGTAGAGGTGAAGCTGGGGGAAAGGTTGGTTACCATTGTGGAGGGGACACACCTGTGGGCTCAGGTGGGGGTGGACAACTCTCTCTGTCCTCATCCTCTTTCTCCTCTAGTTCAGCTAGCAGTGAAAGCCTTGAAGACAGGTCGTTGTCTCTGTCTGTTGGTGGAGTGGGAAGAGCAGCCAGACTGACCACAGGACACAGGGTAGGGGGAGCTCACCCCAAAGTTTCAGCCCAACACAATCACCAGCAGAAATGTGGGCCAGGTTTTCAGAAACAGGGTCATTTACAGCCAAGAAAGGACAAGTTGTCCAACTTTTTTGTGGATATGTCCAAAGCCAATACGTTGCCGAGAGTCAGGGAGACTTTGCTCCCAACTGCATCCTTGAGCCCTGGAGAGTATGTGAGCATTATTTATCAGAGTGAGCGAAGAGGACATAGCAAGGGGAGGACTACAGCTGAGCCAGGGAACTCCATGGCACAAAGACAACAAAGAGCCTTTCACCGACCACAGCCATGTCAAGGTGGATCTGCCAACCTTCCCCGGAGCTTCTCAGCACCCCTCTCCACCTCTATCTCTTTATCCTCTGAATATGTGAACATGGACTTGGGTAACTCGCCTTCTCTCACTCCTCTCTCTTCTTTTAAACCTGCTCCAAAGGTCAGAGAGGAGATCAACAGAGCTTCTTATGTAAAACAAGAAGTGGAAATGGGACTCAGGAAGAGCAGCATTTCAAGCTTGACATCTACAGATGTCACTGCTGCACCTTTTAAAGACTATACTGAGATGAAATTTGGATTGGATGGAGATAAAACATCCATGTCCCCTAAACCTGGCCAAACACCTCTACCATCCTCCATGGAGCAGGAGCATAACACGAATTATCCTTCACCCAAAGCTTTTTCAAATGTGGATCAGGGTGCCCATCTAGTGAGGGTGGAATCAACAGCAAGAAGGCGGCATCGCTCTGAGACATTCATAGCACCTCCAACTCTCAACCACTCCCCCTCTGCTTCCCCTTCTCCTTTTCCTGAAGCACCACATTGTGGTCCACCACGACAGCAAGGATTAGAGAACAACCTTTGGTCTAATAATCAGCCACCCTCTCCACAGTGTGCCAGCCCTGGAGTGGCAACTCTTCCTGCTGCTCAGGCATCTTCCTTAAACCTAGAGCAAGGCCTGAACTACATTGATTTAGACTTAGTCAGTAAGGAGAATCAAACCAGTGTGGATGGACCTTCTGGCCCTCACTCATTTTTCTCTCCTGTAGTTGGAGGGTTGACTGGGGGATTTGGTGGAGCTGGAGGAAACACCACCTCCAGCATCAACACATATGCCAGCATTGATTTCATCAAATCAGATGAATTGAGAGTTCATCAGAGCAGCAGGAAGGACAGCAAAGGTAAAATCACTGTACACTACTAAACTTTATTTGCTCCATTACTGTAGCCCAATTCAAAACTGTCAGTGGTCTTCTCACAGAACATAATTAGTGGTATTTTTAAAAAATATTATCTCCTTATTAGAATAATACTGATCTTAAAGTAACAATATATTATCAACATATGAATCTAACATTCCTTCAAGACTCATGTAATCATTTTTTATTTGTTGTTCAGTTGATTTGTGTTAAAATGACAAAATGTTTTCTTACTGATGCTCACAGTGATGGTAATCAGCTTTTCAAGGGTTATTTTGAGGCCTCCTCTCTTTTAATATGGAACAATAGTAAAATTTGTTAAGAGGACAAGTTCTGCTCACTGCCTGTTTCCATTTGTGAAGTGGAGGTGGAGTATAAGAATAATCTGACAGCTTTTGTGTTGTATTAACCACAGATCATTGAAGTTGTTGGTTTTGATTGTGTGTTTGTTACAGTTTATGAATGCATGATAAGGGCAGTGTGAGTGAGTACAGACATATGCGTGTGTGCCTGTAATGTGTGTGGATTGAGAATATAGCATATTTGTGGCTTATCTAAGTGTTTATAAGGGATACCTCTGCGCAGCTCTGTATCCGCATATATATTTAACTCACTGTGATTGTAGATAATTATGGCTATTTAACTTCAGTCTAGCTGAAAATGTTCCTGAATGTGGTTCTGCTTTTACTCATCTCTCTCCTCTTCTCTCTTTCTCTTTCTCCTTTTTTTCCCTAAGTCTTTCATCTTGACCTTCTATCTCTCTCTTGGTAACATATAGACTCTCTGCAAGAATGTGGTCTTAACTTCTAACCTTTATTAAATGTTTTTGCTCTAAATTTTGACTAAGGACATGATTTTCATATGTAATTCACTTCATGCTCTGTGACATGCCATTGACCACAGAACTGGTGCATAGCTGTCTTAAAACGACTATCCAGACGAGTGGCTTCTTTTGATTTTATGATAGGCTTCAGGTTAGGGTTATCCAGTGGTTCTCAGCCCCGCACTTTCTCATCCTTGTCTGCATAAAGTTGAATGTTCACCCAAAATGTCTTAATTAAGCTGCTGTATGCAAAGTTTTGCTTTTAAATAATCATTGCTGATTGTGCAGAAAGACAACTGTATTGATTTTCTCAAAACGTTTAAAAACTATGGGCCCTATTATACACCTGGCGGCTGGCGCAATACAAATGTTTTTTTGCTAGTTTCAGCCCGGCACATTTTATAGTTTTCACATCCCGCTCCACGTTGTTTAAATAGCAAATGCATTTGTGGCCATTTGTTCATTGGGCGTGTTGGTCTGAAAACGAGGTGTGTTCAGGCGCATTGTTGCGTTGCTATTTTGAGGCAACTGAAATAATAAAAGTCAAAAAGTCAATGGCGCAATATTTTTTTGTTATTTAAAGAGCGTGTTAGTAATGTGCGCCTAATAGGTGGGTCCACAACGCACAAATGGATGGTCTGCTTGCACGCTGTAATCTCCCATATAGCATTGGACATTCTGCCATCTAATTAAATAACAAATCTGGCTTCTAAAGGGAATTGGAGATGAGACTCTGATTGGTTTATTGCATGTAATGCCCAAAACACACCCATTACTCATTAGAGAATAGGATAACCATTTTAGACCATGTGCCAGATGCGTCAACCATTTTTTCCCGTCCTTAAACTAGCAAAAGTGGATTCGGACACGCCCTTAGTGCACTTCCTGCGTGCGCTTCAGAGTATGCACTTAGATCGTTAAAATAATGCCCTATGTGTTCAACATTGACTCAACCAATGGTTTTGAAGGCAAGGTTACCTATTTTTCCAAACTATAGCAGATGGAGGAAGTGTTTTGTTAACAAACATTTTATTTGCAATTCCATTTGGTGCTGCAAGCAAGTGGAACAGAAATTGCACTTGGATTTAATTTGTGTTGTTATGGTGCTTGCCCATGCAGAAGTTGCTATCACAATGCTACACTAGGGCATGCTAAAGTGTTCTGAGTGTGTTTTGCAATGCATGCACAACTAATTAATTATTTTAACCAAGTATCCGATCTTCCATTAATGGTCTATCTCAGATTTGCTGAATTACACCTGAAGATTTAGAGTCATTCAAAACTATTAAAAAAAAAAGAAAGAATGTCAAGGTAGTATCGTTGACTGTACAATTTTGTTCAGCATCCTGAAAAGCATCTTACGTAAACTGCTTACCATTTGAGTGGAAAGTGAGTGGGGGTGATTCAAAAACAAGGGCAGGATATTGGACAAGACTAATAGTATGAAAGACAAATAAATGTGTTTAGTGGGTAAGAGAAAGATGACACCAGAGAACAAAAGAATAGTCTAACAGAGAGAATATGGCCTCAGAAAGACAGTAAGTTTAAGACTAGATTGAGAGAGAAAGATTAGCAGAGACAGACAAGTCAGAGCATCAATGCAGGTATTGTGTGACTCAATGTGACGCTCTGAAGGCTTTACCTCATACAAACCCAGTCACCACGGTGGTGCTAAGAAGAGGGGGATCTGCTCCAACCCAAAGCTGTCTAGACAAGCAGGTTGTTGTAGGTCAGAGGAGCTGTAATCTAGCTGACCCATCAGCAGCCCTGCGGAGAAGACATTCCTTTACAGTGGACTAAGGAAGGGCATTTACTCACACTAGCATTATTGCATGTCAATATATGTGTGTCTTTTGTGTATGTGCACTGGTTCATTACATTACCCAAGTGGAATTATCATTAGTAAAAAAAACTGTGAAAAAAAATCCAATTTGTCCTCGGTGTACCTTTTCCCAGTAACAAACCTCTCGTAGGGATAAAGTTTAGAAACGGTATGTTTTGAGGGTAACTACTTTAGAGGGTTTTTGTAGTATACATCTGATCCTGTAACTGAATTGGGGCTGATGAAGCAGAATCCACTGAAAAAGGACAAATAAATAACAGTGTTAAAATGTAAAAAGAATTAAAAAAGATTCTAATAAATAACTAAAATGAGATTTAAATAATTAAAATGACTAAAATAAATAAGTAAAAGAATGAGTAAATAAATAATTAGTGTATCTAAATGTAATATGAGTAGGAAAAATACGAAGGCTAATAATGTAGCTGTTTAAAAGACAATATTTTCCAAATATATTTTAGATTTTCTAAAAACAAAACAAACAAAAAAAAACTATATAGATACTCACATGATGAGGATCATATTCATGGGGCCATCCATGGCACCTAAAAGACTGAAAAGCAGCATTGTCCAGGCTGCTTTTACCATACAACTAATGTGAATAATTAATGGATTTGTCAAGCTTTAAAGGCACAATATGTAAGATTTTTTTGGCTTTAAAATATCCCAAAACCACTAGCACAGTGTTATATTTTGTTCACTTGTTTACTACTAACATTGTCCCAAATGTTTCAAACAATGTTTGTTTAAATCCAGAGAAATTTGTTGTTTTAACTGTAAAGTCCCTCCTCATTGCGTCACCTGTCAATGGTGGCATGTTCACGTTATCCTCTGTTTCCACTTTTACTGCCCATGAAAAAATGCAGAAGTATTAGTTGTGTAGCGTCTAGCACGCCACTCTTTTTTAGTTTCCACAATCGACATGGACCACAATTATTCATTATTGTTTGCTCTTTTTGCCAATGCTGTGGGTATGTTCAAATGGACTTTTAGGATGATTGTTTTGAACACTTAAAACTGCGCTGCTTCACTGCCACTTCATTCGACAATAGTGACATGTATTAGTAATTTAGCAGTAACTTGTGGCTAATTCATTCGAATTATATAAAATATTTATTCCATTACCTCATCCATGAGCAGGATTTGTCAGACTGATTTCCATCAGCAGTGGAGGTGAAGATGACAAATCCCATCATTCCTCGATCCTTCACATCAAGCTATGCCTTTGTTATTGTTTTGAATATGCAACCTCTAGCTGGGAAAATCAAATACTGTCCCTTTAAGAAGTTATTTACTGAAAATCTCATATTTCATTCTAGCCATCTCTGCTGCCATTATAGTGAAAATGTCTTTGTTTTCCTGAAGCACAGCAACACTATTAGAATTATTCACTAACTAACAGTCTGTGACTCACTCTGAGACTCTGGCCTTTGAACGTAATGCAGTTGTTTTTAAATGTATTGTTAAAGCAACACTAAGTAAGAATTTTTACCTTAAAATAATGTTTTCAAAATCGTTTCAGTGGTTCATCAAGTCGTGAAATTGTGAAATGTACTTATGCCACCACTTTGTGGTCCTTTATCTGATATATTCACGCTATGTAAGATTGCCGGATCGGGTCGCGTTTCTGTAGTGCGAATGAGACAGAAGAAAACCACAAATTTGACTTGCTTTACGGCAGGTGTTACAGTTGGTGATTGGTGGATCGTACTCGACAGTAGACTACAACTACACTTTCATAAAATCATGCATCATACTCTACCTTGTCTGTGGCCATTGTTGATTCCAAAGCCGCCGCTGGATAAACAGAGCATGCGCGTGCGACAGTAGGCTGCGGTAGGCTAAATTATTTACGACAACAGTTATGGACAATTCCGCTTCCAACCAGTAGGGTGACCGCAGAGGAAAAGTTGCTTGGTGTTGCTTCAATATACATGCTTGACCATTTGAAGGATATACAGTATGTGACCCTTTATTGGATGACTTTGAACTGATCTAACTTAACGGTTCCCGACTACGCCACCTGGTGCCTCTCCCACCAAGATATATTTTGCACCATAATTGTTGAATACCTAATCTAGGGCGAACAGGTTCTTGATAATACACACAAGATGTACTAGACAGAGACGTGCTTTCGATAAAAAGTAACAATACTTTATTGGTCAATTGTATAAAAATAAATAAATCACATCATCATACAAACCGAATTCCATAAAAGTTGGGACACTTTACAAATTGTGAATAAAAACAGAATGCAATGATGTGGAAGTTTCAAATTTCAATATTATATTTAGAATACAACATAGATGACATATCAAA